CTAATCATTATTATTAAATAAAAAATACTTTTTTACTTGAAAACAAATGAATTTATCTAAATTAATTTAATATTAATGAATTGTTGAGCTTAATTATTTTATAAGTATTATTTAAATTTAATGTATTTAATATTATAAATATATATTTTTTTTATAATTTATAGAATAAGAATGAATATATTAAAACTAAATCTTTAAATTATTATAAAGTTTAATTATAATTTATTAATAAAGTAGATAATTATTTTAGCTGGTTGTTTTTAATTAGTCAAAACTGATATTGTTTTTTTATTATTATTGATTTGTTGATCATAATTGTTGTTCTTAGATATTAAAATATTAAATATCATTTTTTTGATTAGGACTCTTATGCTACGTGTTGATGGTTTGAGGAATTGTTTTATTTTCTTTTTAATACAAACTGAGACTGAGGGTTTGGTCATAGAAATATGTTTCCTTTTTTCCCTCGGCCACTTCATCTATTATAATTGAATAAATTAAATTATTTAGTAATTAAATATAAAATTAACATTTATTAACTTTCATTAAAATTAAGCCAAATAATTAATTAATTTAATTCTTTACTAAGCAATTTTTATTTAGAAGTGAGTAAAATTATGAATTAAAAAAATTAAAAATCTGATGAAGGAGGGGTTCGAACCCTCGCCCTTTCGGAATAGAGCCTAAATCTACCGCCTTAGACCACTCGGCCACTTCATCTCACATGAAATTTATAAGTTAATTTTAGAAATAGTTAAAACAAAATAAAATAACAACTTTAATTTGATTTTAAGTTTAAAAATAAATATTTAAAGTTCTAATTCATACTAAAACAGTTCTAAAAATAAAATTGCTAATAATCTTAAACATTTTTATTTATGTATTTAAAAATAAAAATCTGATGAAGGAGGGGTTCGAACCCTCGCCCTTTCGGAATAGAGCCTAAATCTACCGCCTTAGACCACTCGGCCACTTCATCTCACATGAATTGTAAAGAAGAATCTCTGAAATAGTTAAAATGATAACAAAATAAAATTTAAAAAAATAGGAATATTATAATGAAATTATATATGAGAATGTATGTTTAAGCGTGAAAGAAGAATCTAAAATAATTAAAAAAAAACTAATCGCAAATCTTTATATTTTCGATTAAAATTACAAAATTTATTAATTTATCAAAAATAAAAATCTGATGAAGGAGGGGTTCGAACCCTCGCCCTTTCGGAATAGAGCCTAAATCTACCGCCTTAGACCACTCGGCCACTTCATCTAACACAATCAAGTTGACTAAAATTGTAATAACTAAAATAGCAGCATTTCTAATGAATTTAAACTAATTAATTATCAAATTTCTATTGTTGATCAAATCAAAGATAAAATATGAATAATTTAAAATATTTAACATATTTATTTAATTTGGATGATAAAAAAGTAATTTTTAGTGCAGTTTGAAATAAAAATAAATAAAATTAGATTTTTACATGAATTATTTTGAAAATAAATATTTAAAAGTTGAATAAAAAATAGAATAATAAATTTTAAAATGACTTCTTACTTGTTCTATATTTTAGGCTTTCATCTATTAAAATATTTTCTATTTACTATAAATTTGATTTAATTTTTTGCTGAATTAAAAATAATAAATTCTATTTTTTTAGACAAAAATTCTAAGACTAAATTTGAAAAATTGAAAGATGATTTTACTCTGATTAATCAAAGAAAATGAATACAAATATAAATTATAAAATGAGGCAGATACAGATATATTATTTATTATGTGATTATCTATCTGCTCATATTGAAAAATAATAGCATTTTAGTTAATTAATTAATTAATAATTTTATATAAATTTAAATTTTGGAAGTATATTTTTTATTTTTTAACTATAAACAAACTCTAACTACTCTATAAATCAATCTATAAACATGTCTATTTTTCTATCTATATATTTATCTAATATATCAATCAATTTTTATCTTTTGGATCTTCAATAAAACCTTCTAATGGCATTTTCTTTTTCAGTTCCAAAAGGTCTTTCTTGATATTTCTCTAGACTTCCTTCACGTGAACTTACCGAACTGTAAGAGAAGCTATTTTTCTTGGGGGGTTAACTGCTTTCCTAATTGTTTTGTTTAGTCTCCTTGTTAGCGAGATAGAATGTTGGGTTCCTAACTGATTTTTCCTTCAGATAGGGAGGAATTTCGTTATTGTTGGAATTATTATTGCCCTCTTTGATCTCTCTAATTTTAATATGAAAAAATAGAATTAATTAATAAATAAATAATTTAGCTTATTAACAATTTAAATGAAAAAATAAATAAATAAATAATTACCCTCTAAGTGAAAGGAAATTGTTGGTTTTTTCTTGGTTGACCCTGCCACTCTTAGAAAGATCTGTTAGCAGATGTCTCTCTTGAGAAGGATTAGTTTATAGATTGTTATTATTGAGGCTATTGCTATTGTTAATGTTATTGTTTGAAAGGTATTGCCTTTGATTAAAAGGGTGCTCCAAATCCATGTCTGAACCCTTAGATTGGTTTTTAAAAGCTAGGCTAGGATGTAGTCTATGGTTATTTGTATTGGTGCTATTCATTGTGTTAGAATCTATTTTTCTAGTAGTGATATCCCTGATTCCCATAATTTTATGGGTTTCTTGGGTATTTGTGTTAGAAGTAGCTGTTGGTTCCTGACTAAATTGAGGTTGACTGTCTTGAAGGAGCATTTGAGCTCTCGAATGACTGATTGAGAGAGTTTGACTACTCTAACTAAGACTTGGCTACTATTGATTTTGAGGTTACACTGCTTGTAGGATGCTATTTGAAGCTGACTGATTGCTTGTTTATTGTTGGCTTTTCTTCATCAAGTGAAGTGAGTTGAGAGCTGTAAGTGAATTTTGAGGTTGATTGCTTTGGAGTGGCTACTTATTGTTGAGGTTGTTTATCTAAACTCTCTCTGGGAGTTGCTAATTTGTTGGTGCTGGACCTATCGTTGTGAACTTAATTGTTGGCTTGCTGTGGGCTTCTTAGTTATTGTTGCTGTTGCTAGTGAGCTAGTTACTACTACTACCTTGGTTGTTGGTGAAGGAAGTTCCTGTAGTGATGCTACTATTGCTGTAATTGAGGCTTGGGATTGTTTGGTTAAGAGGCTTGTTGCTGACGTTAATTGAAGTTGTGCTACTGCTGCTGGTAGTTGCGGGTTGATGGGTTTGGTGATGATCCTGTTCTTTCTAGTGATTAGCGTTCACTTATTTGAAAGGATGAATTTATTGATGCATTTTATTGTTGTTATCCTGCTTCAAGGTCTAATTATTATTGGTAAAATGAGGTTATTATGAGTTTGCTATAGCGAAAGTAGTAGTAGTAGTACGTTCATGTTAATTAGTTAGTTTTTGAGTTTGCTTTTCGAATACCTTCATGCCTTTCTTCTAATAAGTTTTTAGAAATGCATTTATTTTTAATAAAAAAAAATATATTTATTTTAAAAAAAGTAGTTACTTAGTTGTAGTAATTGTCTTGGTTCTTGAATCCTTATGGTGCTTGGAAGGTGTTTTAGACTTGGATGTTTCTAGTTTGTTAAGAGTTTTGAACAGAGCGAGAAACAGATTCTTGAGATTCTTCAGACATCATAGAATTCTCGTCAACAGAAAGTGAGTTATTTAATCCTGCGACATTTGCTGTTCTCTTTTTTGTTCTTCTTCTTGTCTTTTTCTTTTTCTCTCCTTATTAGTTGGCAATATTGTTTGCATTGTTTTAGCTTTAAGAATTAGCAGCTAGAGTGTTATTTTACTTTTAGAATTGCTAAATAATTTATTGTTGTTATTGAGACTATTAAATAAGAGTATTTAGAAGCTGGTCATTTTGCTTTTATTCTTTCTTTTATATTTACTCTGCAATTATTTCTTCTAAGCCAGCCATTAATTTGGTGAAGTAATTTTCCTCGACTGAGTTTTGTGAGAGATTTTCCATAGGTCTCTTCTAGCTCATTCTAGCAGGAATTGGTCTTGAAGTGTGATGAGTTCTTTTAAATCCTTTAATTGGACCATTGAAAGATGGTCTGCTAAAGAAGTTTTCTTAAGAGCTTTGCTAGCTATTCATGTATGAGGGATTCATCTATTATTATGAATACTATTGAGATTATAGCTAAGATACAATAGGTTGTTGAGACTAAGACTATTAAGAATTGAAAAGACTACCTCTAAATGACATATTGTAATCTTCAACATCCATAGACTCGTTTGCTTTACCGTTAAAATCGAGAGTGCGCTAGTAAGTGGGTTTGTTGTAATTTTATTGCTAGAAGGATTAATTTAATTGCTAGTTGCCATAATTGGGAGCATTTTCATGCACTGAGCCAAACTTTTATTCATAGTAATTGGGTGTGTTAACTCCACTTCTTTGTGCTGATCTAGGATAATTGCTCTAAAGCTTTTGAGCTGTGTTGTATCTAGATTGTAATAACTGTTGCTATTGTTAGTGCACAGATTATTATTATTATTGCTGTTGTTGTTGTTACTATTATTATTAGTAGCTGCTTGATTAATTCAATTGCTATTGTTACTAGTTTTTTAAATGAGGAGGGATTAGACTATTATTTTGTTGATGTTGGAAAGTAGGTTCTACTTTTTTATTTTATTAATAATTATTTGGGTTAGTTTAGTTGATCAATTTATTTTCTAAGTTAGCAATTTGATTTTTTATTCCCATTAACTTTTCATTTAAGCGTTGCTTTTCTTCTTCTTCTGTCATAAAATCGCTGTTTCTTGTGAGACTTTCTAAGGACATTTTTTAGAACGATTTCTTTCCTCTCTAAAAGCTGTTGTCTAGATCGGATTATGCTTATAAGCTTTATTTAAAAATATTATTATTGCTGGCTGAAGGAGCAGGAGGATTGTAGTTATTTAAGATTTTTTGTAATTTCTTTCCACTTTCATTCTAGCCAGGATGAAGAACAGATACAGGAGGCGAAGTTACTATGTGATTTTGTGGAGGTTAAGGCAAGTAGCGCTTTTGCATGTGAATTGGACGGAGAGTTTCATAATCATTCTAATTGACTAATTTGTGTTATTTGAAGATCATGATGTATAAAAGTGTATCATTAGGATGACTTGATTAGTGGAAAAAGTTTCTCTTAAATTTGATTTCAAATCCTTGATTTCCCTTTATGTTCCATTAATCGCGGTGAAGAATATACAATTTGCACTCAGGAGTCCATTCAACAACAGCTACACGTTTATTAAGCTTCAATTAGTTAGCATAATTCTCGAGTTTAGGACGATCTTCAGCATTTTCACTTTCAAACCAGCCTGAAACAAAACGAATTTTTCTTTCTGGATTTAACTTAGTCTCTTGGGCTAATTAATTGTAATATTAGGAGAAATTGATTAAACCTAATACTCCCTTCATGCTAAGAGTGAAATTTTTGTTTGGGTAAGCAGGCATATTTTGGCATTCATTAGCATCGTTACAAGATAAGATGTAAATTTTATTCATAACAAAAGGTTATTCATTATTAGGCATTTGAATTTCAAATGATCCTTTGAATAAGCTGACAACACTTGCATTTTCAGGAGCTTCGTCTTGTCTTTGACTTAAATTCTCCTCATCAGGGTTAAACTCCCAGAATTTATTTTAGTTTTCTTTCATTAATTTATTGTGTTAAAGGAGAAGAGATTCGTTTAAGCTTTAGAAGTCTTCTTCTCTCAAAGGAACATATTCTTATCCATCTTCTTAGCCATCATCTTCATCGTCAGAGAATTTTTATCCAAATTATTTTTGCTTTGAAACTTTAGTGCCGGGTTTCAATGTTGAAAGCTTTTCTTAACGAATCTTTGCAATAGACTACTTAACTAAATTATTTTCATCAATATTTACATAAGAAGAATCTTCATTCTTATCTTTAGGATGAATTCTATCATTGAACAAAAGACTCAAAGCTATGTTTTCAGATTTAAGTTTCTTAGTAGGGACAGATCCTTCAATTTAAGGACCTTACTCTAATGGGACGTCTTTCTTCTTGAGTTTAATATCTAAAATAAGATTGTCTTCGTTTTCGCAGATTTTTCTGTTTATTTCGATCATTTTTTCTTCCTTAAGGAGTAAATCTTTGCCACATTTTTTTGAATCTGCAAGGAGCTTTATAAGTCTATTTAGTTCCTTAGAGTCAAATTTTAACTTCTTGACTTGTTAACACAAATTAGGGAGTTTCTTCATCTCTAAGAATAATTTAGCAAATGCAACTACGGAATCAAGAGTGGCAGAAGTGGAGTTAGAATTCTCCAAATATAAACGATCAACCATGCTAGTTCCATATTGAAGACATTCTTATAAAGTTAAAGATTTCCATGTTTCGTTTATAGCCTTAGACAAATCGCTGATCATATTTTATTTCATTTTTTCATTTTGCTTCTTTTCTTTGACAATTTTCTCTTTATGTTTATCATCCATTTCACGTTTTTTATCTTCAATTTCTTTTTTCTTAGAAAGGCGAGCATCACTCTAAGCCTTTTATTTACGTTGTTCTTCTAATTGTTTTTCTTTAGCGAGTTGCTTTTCCTTTTACTTTTTCTCTGATTCTTATTATTTTTGCTTATCAATTTCGATTTTAAGTCTTGCTAACTTGTCAACAATCTATTGAGTCATGTCAACATACCTAACAAACTTTAAGCTCTGCTAGTTTTGTTTGAATTTTTGCTTTAGACTCATCTCCAATTCCTTAGGATTGGTGATTTCTTCTATTTTTTTAATTCTTTGTTCACACTATTCAATAACATCTTCAATAAATTTAATTGCTTGCATGAAACGAGATTCTGTTCTACCTTCGAATTTTTATTTAATTTTTTCTAAGGTTTCCTTCATTTACTCATATGTAGAATCGATTTCTTAATTGTTATCCCAGTACTATTTGAGCATCAATATTTTTTTCAAATATAACTCTTGGTCAATTTTCTACACACGTTCTCCTTTGAATTCAGACTTGAGTGAGTTTAATTTTACCTACAAATCAAGGATTTCCTAAAAACTAAATGCTTCACCATTAGAATAAACCTAAAATAAATTAAAAAATTTTTTAATTTTAACTAAAATAAATTTAAAAAATTTTAATTTGAATTAAAATTAATAAAAAAAGTTTTAATTTGAATTAAAATAAGTAAAAAAATTTTTAACTGAAAAGAAAAAAAAAATATTACTTTTTTCTCAATAACGCTCAAGGCATCTTCTTTTATTTTCCATTTTTCTATTAATTTCTCTGCTTCTGGAATCTTTACTTATTAGAGTCTATATCTTTCTAAAAGTTCAATAATTTCTTAACTTAGTTATTAATTTGAACTTCCTTTTTTGCTAGCACTTCCTGTTTATTTTTTATTCTCCTTTAAAACTTATTCCATCTCTTCAGCATTTTTGATGAGGACTTCAAGCATGCACTCTTCATCGCATTTTACTGGGATTTTGCTATTGTGGAATTATTCAAGCAAATCTTTCCAGAATTTTATTGGCTACTTTTCGTTTTTTTGAGTTGCTGAATCATATTCTGCAATAATTTATTCAAGCTTTCTCTTCATTTTTTGAACTTCCTTAAACTAAGCTTAGCTTTCTTCTATGGTAATTGTTCTTAAAGCATTTTCTAATTCATTGAATTGCTACATACTGATTAATGACTCCCTTTCTTCAGCTTTTTTCTTTTTAGAATCTTTCTTTAGCTGGTCTACTGCGTCTTTACACTTTAAAAATACATTGAGTTATTCATTTAATTTTTTGCATAACTTGCTATTTTCTATATCCTTAACTACAGCTGAGGCATTTACCAACTTTTTGCACTCTTCTAAATCTCTTTTCATCTAAAATATAAAAAAAGCAACTGATTATATATCAAATCATAAATAAAATATTTATTTTTTTTACCTAAATTGATGAGCTAGAGCTTAAAAAGAAGGCACAATCAATACTCCAGTGAAGTTTCATAAAGTAGCTGTCAAATTTAGGAAGAGCTACTAAAATGTTTTTTTCCAATTTGGAAATTTCTTGAATTTATGCTCTTATTGATAACAAATCTTCAGAAGGAGTATCTTGGAAATTATCCATTTAACTCCAGTGAGCATTGTAGCATCTTGTAATGAGTTGTATGTATTTTTCTTAACTCTTTTTAGATAATTCTAAGAACTCTATTTAAGAATCAAAGTTAACTCTATCGTTTAAGTTTTTCATTCTTTCAAGAAGCTAATCAACTTCATCAATTGTTACTTTACTGCTGAATTCCTTTTATTTTTTTTCATAGTCAATAATTTCAAGGGTGTCTTTATCTTTTTCAATATCCATCTTTTCTTCGTTGCTGCTAGAATTGCTCATCAATTTCTTAGATTTAACAATTAACTCTTTTACTTGTGTGTAAAGAGCTTCAAGAGCCTGTAATGTTGACCACTGCTTTGAAACTTTACAGGTTTCAGCTCTTCTGTAATAGCTCTCTAAATCTTCTAATTTTTTTCTTTCGCTATCGTTTCTCAAAAATTCACCACATTCGACAGCCCATTCAATTTAAAGCTATTGCTATTAAATTACAGTGAACTTGTCTTTCACTTCAGTAATTTTTTCAATTTTAGCATTCATTCCTTTTTTAAGTGTATCAACAGCCTTTTTGAATTGCTCAAATTTGCTTCTGTCTGAATTGATTTCCTCCATGGGATACTTTGTTTCGATTTGAGTAGCCTTGCTCATCCAAGTTTCTTGCTAGCTAATTCTATTTTGTTCAATAAAAAATTAGAAAAACCAATATTGCCGAGATTTCAAATTCAATAAATCAAATAAAATTAGTGGTTTATTGCAAAACAAAAAAAATTTATATTGAATTAAGATAGAAATTTGAATTATATTTTGTGTAAAAAAAACAAATGAGACAAATAAATTGTTTTCTAAAAGCTTTAATAAAGTAAAATGATAAGTAAGTAAATAAATAAACAAAAAAATGATTGATTGAGTATTGAAATTGTTGTTGGAAAAGCTTACAAGTCTACTATTTGCTTGTGGTATGTAGCTTATTTAAACTTTAAGTGTTTAAAAGAAGTATCGATTTTTATAGGGTTATCTTTTAACAAAACTAAATCAGCTAAAGCGATTGACTCTTTTCCCAACAAATCATAAGCATCCTTGATCCACAAAATTAGTTGGACCTTTTAAAGCAGTTTATTCAATTCCTCATCTAGCACTTAAGGCATATTCTTGCTCAGAGCATCGATCAAGTCTTATTTTAGCTAAGGAGTCATCTTTGAAGGCTCTAAATTATCAAGACCTTTCATAATTTCCTATCTTAAGGTGCGGAGAGGCTTTTACTTTTTAATCTTAGGTTCTTTTTTATTTCCAGAACCTCCTTGTGAGTTTTATTAAGACTGGGTATTTCCTTCTTTAGATGCAGATCTATTTGCACCGAAAGTATCGCAAACAATAGTGTGCAAGCGATTGACCCATTTAGGAATGAGCTTTACAGTTTCAAGGCGGTGGAATTCAGGTAAATCCAAATTGAGTTTTTTGGCATCCTTAATAAAGACTTCAATTGTCTTAATACCCTCCTCTGTAAACTCATTCTCAAGAGCACTTTGGATGATATTTCTGCAACTTTATTGGATTTCTCTACCATCATTATATTTTTATTAAATCTATTAAACAAGTTCTTCATCAATCTGAGAAAAGCGAGGCTTGATCTTGTTAATTTCAATCTCTAACTCATCTAAGTCAATTGTTTTTTCTAGCAAACTACGGATATGCTGCTCCGTTTTCTTCATCGAGGATGTGTTTTTAATTTAAATATTTAGCGAGTGATTATTTGCAACAAAGCTTTTCTTAGTTTTAGTTAATACCTTTAAGGCAGCAAGAATGTTTGTTTGTTTTGTTTTGTTGCTTTTTAATTTCTTTGTTTATATATAGTTATTTATATATTTTTTACTTCTTTGATTTATTAATGATAAGAGTTTTAATGAATCTTACTATCTATCTATCTATTTATCTTTTTTTACCTTCAACCTCTTTTTAATTATTAGTAATTATTTAATTAATTAATATCTCTGCTTTTGCTGCGACTCCTTATTATGTGATAAAAGCAAATTCAATTTATTTATTTATTAATTTATTGTTTATTAAATCCACTTTTCTTATGTTAAAATCAACTGTATTTCTGTTTTTAATTAAAAACTAAAAAAAAACATGCTTCTTTTCTAAAATTCTTCTCCCCGCTCCGATAATTTTTTTAATTTTTCAAAATTAAAAAGGGAAAATCAATATCAATTTTTGACAAAAATCAAATCTTGTTATTATACAAGCAATTTATTTTCCTCCCCACTAAATAATTTCTTTATTTTAAATTCAAAATTTAAATTTGATAATTTTTTTTTCATAAATTTCCTCAATTTTTGCAAGTAAAAAGAAACAACATACGCCCTCCCCTTTTTCCCACCCACGAAAACAGAATAATTAATTTATTATTATTTGATTTTATTATTTTCATGTTATTTATTTTTATTTACTTTTTCTTTCTTTCTTTCTCAAAATAATTAATGGGTTTTTTTGAATTCTTTTAATTTAATTAATTGTTGATTGCCTTTAAACATGCATGCAAAATATATTTATTTATTTATGTATGTATGTATTATTTTTCTTCTATACATCTTTTTAATACTTTTTTAATTTCCTAAATTAGTTTCCTCAAAGCAATATTTTTCTCAAGCTCAATCAATTCAATCATTCTCTATTTTCCTTTTTCTTTTAAATTAAATTTGCTTATATTTTTTGATCAATTTTAATCTTTATCCTTTAAAGGTATTTTTTTGCTATTTTCTAAAGCAATTTTATTTAATACATAAAAAACATTTTTAAATAAAACAAATCTTTTGTTTTTATACTTATAACTAAATACTTAAGTTTGATCCTAAGAATTGGTTGGTATAAGTACAAAAACTTGCTTAAATATTTTTGTTAATAAGTATATTAAAGAAGGAATGATCTGTTCTATTTATATTTGAAAATAGAGAGAGAATATCAAGAGCGAGAAACATCGATTGCTTTTAGTGTTTTAAAATGCAGATAACCAACCTATCATTAAAAGTGAATTCTCATTGTTCAGCTATTTATTTATATTTCAATTTAATACATTCTATATTACAATTATTATGAAATTATAATTCAAATCAATTAAATGTGTTGATTATACTTATCTTACATGGTCAAGTTATTCTAAAAAGGTTATCAGCGGTTCATCTTAAGAGCTTTTGAAGTTTAGTAATTTTCAGTTTTCATTTTTCTGGTTTATTTTATGTTTATTGTTTCATTGTTTTTACTGCATTTTGCCAGCTTTTGTATTTTATTATTTGTAAAAATGTTTATATATATATGACACTTTCAAATATTATGCATTTAAAAGATTGTGTAAATGGGTATTTCCTTCTTAATATGATTTATTTATTTAATTAGCTGGGATCATTTCCTAATAAAAAAGATTTAATTAATTTTGAAATTTCTCAGGAATAAAAAAAATTTGTTCACTCACTTAATATTTTTGAATTTTCTATTTTTAGTGGAAATAAAAATGATTTGGCACAATAGTTGAAAAGAGCTATTAAATTCTATGCTGCTACCAATCAATAAAGTTTAAGACTAAACAATTGAACAAATAGTAGAAAATTAAGGCTGTTTATTATATAAAAATATTTGATTTTTAGGTAAAAATTAGATTTGAAATTATTGGTTTAAATTAATCTAAATAGAATTTTTGAATATTGATCAACCTTTATATACATTCCTATAATATTAAACTGCTAATTTACTACAAGCATTAAAATGATTTGATGATTAATGTGTTCGCTATTTTTATGATTAACTTTAACTTTGTTAAGAAGTATTTTAATAAAACTCTTAATGTAGCAATTAATCATTTAAATTATATTTTTTAATTAACATAAATATTTGAATGAATGAATATCGATTTTAAATTAATTTTTTTAAGGTTTAATTAAATTAATTGTATTATGTATATTTGAAATCAGAGTTTTATAAATTTTTAAAATTTAAAACAGAATAATAAAGCAATTAATTTATTTTATTTTAGATAAATGCTTTTTTAGATTATCTTGTTTTTATTTCAAAAATTCAAAAAATTTTGTTAAATCTTAGAAAATAAGATTAAATAATGACCATGAATTATATAACAAAAAGGCAGCCACTAAATATTTAGAAATATAATAAATTATCAAACAAATATTTATTTATGGAATCAAAGTTAAGCAGCATACACTGCATTTTATTAACAAAATAACAATAAATTTCACAAATCTTCAAATTTATTTAGTTTTTTTTCAATTTTTGCAAAACAAATGAAATTCTTTTTTAGTTGAAAATTTGAGATAGGAAAGATGAATTAAAATCAATAATAATATTCTATGCTTTGAATACACACTGAAATTTTAATAATCAAAGCTATTTATTTACCACTAATTAAATCATAAATTAAATATTTAAATAGAATTTTTGAATTTTGTAATTTATTTATTCATCCACTTACTATTATAATTAATTATATATATATCTATAATAATAAAGACTAGATAAGAAAAAAGAAAAATTCTAAATAATTATTATTTCAATCAATTAATCAATCAACTAAATTGCAAATAAACAAATCAATCATTCGACAAATAAATTTATAAATGCTTGCCGATTATTTGAAAATTTATAACGTAATAAGATCATCATTTATAAACCGTCATAAACAATATTAAAACTTTACATATCCTATATTGGATCTAATTAACATATTGAAAAATTGACAATGAAATATGATAAGTGGAAAGAGTATCGATCTGTTCATCTATCAATCTATATATTTATATATGAATTAATCTATCTTTTCATCATTTTAATTTATGAAAGATTTATTTCTATCATTTTTTCTTTTTGATTGGTTACTTTCTCATAGATTGCTTAGCTCTGTAAGATTTATTATTTTGCAAATTAATTTACCCACTCTCAGCAAATCTAATATAATATCTACGTTTCAATTAATCTGCAAGTCTATTAATTGCATTAAATAAATAAATTATATTACCTCCCTTGAAGACCTATTAATCGAATTACTTGGCTTGTGTATTGAAATTAGAAATAAAAAGTAGTCCTCCCAGATTTCATTCAAATAATTATCAAAAAAAAAGATTTGTTGTCATATCTACAATAATAAATAACTCTTAATTTACTTAGCACATATAAACAAATACATAAATTCACTCATACATATTCAGTGACCAAATTTCTTTTAATGGAATTTTTAAGTGAACAAGCATAAATGCAAACGCCTCAAAGGAATCGCTATCAGTAATAGGAGCCTCTTAGCATTTAAAATGGGTAGTTCAACCCGAATTCTTCAGTAGCAACCAACGAATTTGACTCACCAGTAGGGATTTACACAAAGTTTTATATAAATTATTTTATTTTTTTTATTATTCTTAGCAAAACTTACTGTCTTTTAAAAATTTAGAAAAACGAGTAATTGACTTCAAATTCAAAAAGAATGATGCTGCTTGAGTTTTCGCCGAAATAAGAGCCTTGCAACCGCTACAAGAATGTTGTATTTAGTTGTGAGGATGAAGATTCGTCCAAAAAGCAAGATTTTTTTGATTATCAGCAAACTGCCTGCAAGTCTGTCCAAAAGAAATAGACTTAGCTTCAAAATAACTCTTCATCAAATCGCAAAATTGAATACGAAGAAGATGAATACAATTTAACTCCTATTAGCTCTTCAAAGAAGGGAAAGGCGATTGAGAGACCAGACGAAGATGAAATATAACAATTAAATGAATTAGATTAACAAATGAACGATATGAACATTCATACGACTTGTAAAAAACAGAGAGGAAATAGTTATAGCGGATTTTCGTAAAACTTTGAAAGCTAACATTAAATAAGAAATATGAATCAAATGTAGGAATTAGAATCCCTTCATTACTAGACAGATCATAATAATGAGTTAATTTATATGACATAAAATCCCTAATGTTATTAAAATGGATACCAGCACAAAGACATACCAATTAACTAGTGTATCTAGCAGGAAAAAGCTTTGGATTATTAAAAAGTAACAATTAATTTGAGAAAAATCAAGAAAAATTCATTAGGAGCATTTCAAAATTTTAATTAAATTACGAGCTGAGCCAATTATTCAAAAAAAAAAGAAAGTCTTAAATTTAAATTTTTTGTTTGTTAACAAATAGTTGGGAATGCTATAAAAAATATTACCAACTATCAATCAAAAAGCAAACAAATTATATTTTAACAAGCCAATTTTAATTATTCATAATTAGATAATTTAAAAGGGAATAATCAATATAATAAATAGTAATAATAATAATACAAACATAATGCTCTCTTAAATCTTCAACTTGAATTTATTTTACCAAAAGTCAAATTAAATTAATTGCTTGGCTTGATTGATTTATTCATGATTTAATTACTCTTTTCTTTTTAATTCAAAATAAATCTCTTAACTTAGTTAATTCAAATAAAATTAACATGCTTTATTCTTCTTCGAAATAATTTTTATTTCTTATTTCAAAAGGCATTTGACAGTATTATTGACTTTGTGAACTCTTTCAACTGTAAGTATCAACAGATCTCCTCTAAATTAGTAATTTATTTTACCTATTTTCTGATAAAATAACATTTACTGTGCATTTTTATTGTTGCAATTTTAATTTGTTATTAAAATAATACTATAAAGAGTCCTTCTTGTGTCATTGAAATTAAAGACCAGTAAACACTACCTAAGCAAAGAATGATTGATGTAATACTTTACTCTTAATAGATTTTTATAGAATTTTTATTTTGTCTTTCATCTATTTTTTATTTGACACCAAACATTTTTTCCTCTTCACATATATTTATATCAGAGATAATTAAAGCTCTTTTAAACATAAAATATATTTATTTATTTACTCTCACTCTTTTAGTTATTCAGAAATACCTTTAAGAAAACTTATTTTAATAATTTGAATTTATTTTTTTGATACATTTTTAAATAATTAATTAGTTAATGTTTTAGAGCATCAATCGTATCGAAATTATATAAGAAAGTCTATCTATGAAAGAAACAAATCACAGATAAATTTCTATTTAGCACAATGCTCTCTTCCATTTATTTGTTCCTAATGCTTTTGCATAGTACCAAATGTTCTGGAGAGTTTCTCTAACTGTGCCTAACCCAACCATAACCTACTTAAGTATTTACTATTGAAATCTCTACGATACATACATAACTCTATTCTCCTCTAAAATCTAATTAAATGAATTAAAAGATTTACATCATAAATTTTATAGCATTTAAATTTGAACATTAATTAATCACACACACATTTCTATTAACTATCTAAAACTCTTACTTAATGACGACAGCTTCAATAATTCTAACAACATATTTATTTCTATCTGCATGATAATTTTCCTTATAAATAATAAAAATAAATAAATAAATAAATACTGCTTTATAAACTAATTAAAACGATTAAAATAAATAACAATTAAACAAAATATTAATTATTCAAACTACTTTTATATAATATAAAACCCTACTACATACACACACAAATAAATAAATTATTTATATTTTCTTAATATTTTTAATTTATCATGATCATTATTGTTTATTCATATCTACAACTAACTTTTGTATCTACTTTATTTAGCATTATCCAATTATTAAAATAAAAACTTTTAATTATAAATTTAATTTTAAAATAATTGATTAAATATTTATTTTTGTTTTTTATAAGTTATTCTATTTTATTTATATTATTTATCAAAAAATTATTCCAGTAAAAGATTTTATTGTAAATTTAAGATGTTAATTTCTTCATTTTTTAAAAATAAGGTAGTTATTATTATTAGATAAATTGATAAAATATATTTTTAAGCAATTTCAGTAATTATTTTTTAATTTTAAGAAAAATTTATATTTTGAAAAATGAAAATAAATTAAATTATATTTAAAAATATTTATTTAAATTTTATGTTCCTTCACTAAATTAAATTAAAATAGCTTAAGAATATAAATTTTTGACACAAATAACTTTATAAAGAAAGACCCAAGACCCAAACTCTTCTAATATTTTTAACTACGAATAAAATATAAATTATAAAAATTAATAATTTAATTAAAAAATTTAAATTAAAAAGTAAGTAAAAAAGTCTTAAAAATAATTATTAGCAAAATCAATTTTTTAAAAATGAAAAAAATTTATTTGATGAATTTATTTTTTAAAATAAGAATTTTAAACATAAATATTAAAATATAATTATTGAATAAAGTAAAAGAAGACTAGTTAAATACATTTTTTAAATAAATGAAATGTGCAAAAAAAAATTTTAATTGTTTTAGTTTAAATAAATCTAAATAGAAATTAAAGATATTCAATTACTGATTCAACATTTTGTTGAAATAACCATTTTATTTGCTTTAACAAAATATTATTATAAAAAATAAATTAAAATTATAATAATGAAATAGATATAAAAAAAGATATGTTTTATTTTCACTAAATTTAAATAGTTCTTCATTATGAATTTTGTCTGATTTAGGATGGATCCATATTTGATTTAGCTTCATCCAAGCAAAGAATAATATAATAAATTGTAAATAAGATGATTTAAATTTTCAAATTTAAAATTAATTTTGGAAATTAAATTAAATATTTTATTATTTTTTGTAAAGTTTCTTAGCAAATAAAATAGCTTTTTCTAATAACATTTTTTTCAAGCAAATTAAAAATAACAATTTCAATTATTAAATATTGATAATAATAAAAATTTAATTTTAAATAAATTTTTACACTTAAACTTGGGTAAAAAATAATTTATTTGCTTTGGATTGTGATGCTTTTGAATGTAAAAACATATTGAAAACAACCTTATAATTTTTTGTTGATATTTTTATATTTTTTTAGATTGTTAATATTTTTATATTTTTAGATTATGATACTATGTTAAAACAATCTTTTAAAGTAAAAAATATAAATCAAAGAATAAATGAATCAATCAATGAATGAATGAATGTAAATGGAGATAAATAGTAATAGAAAGATTTGAGATAAACATAAATAGATGTAGGTAAGTTTGTATGTATAAATAAATTATGGAAAATAATAATGATATAAAAACTTTAATAGGTTTTGTGATAATTATTATATATTTTTAGCAAGCCTTCTTATAGTTTATTTCTAAGTTGACCATAAAATTATATTAATATAGTTTCTATAAAAATGACATCTTCAAGTAACTTAATTAACTTCTTTTTAATTCAATAAATCAATACTAAATAATTGGTACTAATAGAGTAATTATTATGATCTAAAGTATTTAATTATTGCCGAATTAATTAGCTACTTTTTTTTCTTGAAAATTTTATTATTAATTAAACAGAAAATAAATGCTCAGCATAAAAATGCATTTAGATTTATGCTCAAAAGCTTAACTTTTTCTTTGTACTAAAAAAGGCTGTAAAAGTTAAAGCAGTCTTTTTAAAAATTATAGGAAATTACTATTTTCAAGTGAAAAATGAGTAATTTTTATTCTTTTTTAAAGCTTTAGTGCATGAATCTAGTTCTTTAAATCTGTGTTGACATTTACTCTTGTTTGATTGGTCTATTGTGATCATTTATTTACTCATTTAGTATTTTGTAATAAAGAAGTTGTGGTTGTCATCAGATGAATTTGAAATAAGTAATTAATTAAGTTGTACGTACGTATGTATTTATTTATGTATGTATGTATGAAATTTAGATTGATTTGAAATGGAAATATTTGTTATTACTATTATTAATTAATTACACACTTTTTTATTATTATTGTTATTTTAGTATTCTATTTAGTTAATAATGCAGCTTATAAGCCTTTAATAATTATTTATTTATTTATTTATTTATTTTATTAGTTTGTTATATATTAATTAAAGATATGTAAAGCAAACCCTCTTAAATATAATCTCAATTTTATTGAATAAGCTAATGATGTAATTAAAATTATCTAAGAATCTTAAGCTAATTTATTTATTTATTTAAATTTTTATTCCTTATTTCCAAGGTGGGGACTAATTTTCCTCTAACATGTATTTATTTTATTTCATATGAATGAATGACTTATTGATAAAAATATCAATTATTTGTTTTTAATTAAAAGTCAGTTTAAGATTAGCTAAATTTAATCAGTAATACTTTTAATAAGATTTTAACTTTTGTAATTTTATTTGCAGATTATATTTTAAACAGGCGCTTATATCTTTACTTTATTTATTTATTTTAAATAGCTTTAATTAATACAATCAAAGGACCTATTGATAGGTAGATAACAGGAAAAAGTAAGTAAGTGTAGGTGGGTGGGTGATAATGATCCTTCTTATCTAAATAGGAGTTTGCTTATAAATATTTTTTTTCATTTTTTGGCTACTTCTTTAGGATTTTACTTTCTATTATTAATTGATTAAAAATAAATAAGTTATTTTAACATAAATAACAAACAAACTCAAAATACAAATTTGATCGATAAAGAATAAACAAATGAATTAATTACTTTTCTAAGCGAATTGTAAGGTTTTTGAAATTTGTGTAAATTTGTTCTAATTTATCTCTAACTAAGTCTTGCTACTTGATGAGCTCCTCAATTCTTGGTTGCTCTTTGAATTTTACTGTTTTTATAAAGCTTTGATCGAATTCCTTTGCTAGCATATGGGCGGCTTCTATTTCAATATGTGAATCACCAAGGCAAATCAAATTAGTGATGATCTATATATAAATAATAGAACAAAAGATTAAAAAAGTGAAAAGGGAAAAAATAGACAAAAAAGGAGACAGTTGGTTAGTTAATTAATCACTTCTCTTTATCAACATTTGTTATAATTTTAAAGTATAAATAAAAACGTAGCAAAAATCTAAATTAGCTGAATTAAATTTCTTCGTTTGACAATTTTTAATTATTTGTAAATAAAAGAATTAAAAACAAGTGCTTTATATTAATTCTTTTACTAAGTGTCGAATGCAGGTTACTTACTATTTTTCCTTATATTCTTACTTAGTAGAAATGCTTCTTTCCTTCTTTCAATCATTTTTGATGAAGGTATTTTATTTATCTAAAAAACTGTAAATTCAAAAATATTTATCTTAAATGATAACTCTCAGTCTGCCTTTCTATAATCAATAGATTATCTGTCAATAAAGTATATTTCAGAGCTGCGTAATATGCGCAGCAAGTATTTTTTTGATATGTACATTCTCTAAAGCTTGTTTTATTACTTTTTTTGTTCATTTAATTTGGTATGCTATAAAAGTCTAAGATAGATGAGGGAAGATATTTATTTATTTTTGGGTATGTATGATAATATTTATTAAAATATTTAAATTTAGAGAGCGCTTGATTGATATCGTAGATGATTAAGAAAGAACGAGGGAGTGCATTAAGTAAGTAAAAGAAAAGATTTGGCTTTATTTAGAGCTAAGAGAGTGGTTGATGATGTTAATAATCACAAAGATATTGATTTAAATTCTTTTATTAAAAAATCAAGCAGAATAATATTAAAATTTCATTGATTAATTGATAGTTCTATTAATTTATCTTATTTTTATAAAGCGAATCAAAAAAGTTAAAACAATCTTTTTTCGATCAATCAATCTGCAATATTTCCCTACTTTATTTTTGACATGCATCTATCTAACTATCTACATTCTTAGATAATTGCTACTTTCTTAGCTATTTATTAGCTACTCAAAATTGTTTAAGCTATTTTCTCTTATTTAAAAACAGTTGAAAAATTATTTTTGATCTTAATCTATCAAGACTTGTGTGTGCTTGTTTATATTTTTGTTTGCATGAACCTAAATCACGTCACTAATCATTTTAGTTTGCTATTTTAAAATATTTCACTCTGAGGAGAAAGTTTAAATTGTTTGATATTTAGCATACAATATTTTCTTTATTGACTTTTTCTAGTAAAATTCAAATATTTATTAATATTTTCATTCATCTTTTGTGTAACTAACATCATTTATTTATTTGAATGTAAATTTTCCTCACTTTCCCATTTTAATTTTTAAAAATACTTGTAAAAAAATAATTGAAATAGCCTTCATAGTTTGTTTGAAAGAATAATCATATGTTTCTAAAGCTAGAATTTCAAAAATAAATAACGTATTTTCGTATTTATGATTAGATTTTGCATATTTTTGACTTATTTTACAATTATTTTATGTTGATTCAGAGAGTTAAACTTTAATTTCATAACAAATTTTACCTGTTTATCGAAGTTTATTTTAATATCTCTGAATGCTTCAACTTTCCACTGATGGCATTAATTTGGGTATTGGCTTTCGTATAAAGAACGAGCAGATATAACTTTTATTTTATATTCATCTAAATATTTATAGACAGTAGGCAAAAAATTCTTGCTGCTGTACTCAACCCAACCTTGAGCAGCGTTAGTAATAATATATGTCTCTCCGTAGTGACAAGCTTCCTTTAGAACCATACTCTTTATTTATACAAATTACATTACTTATAATTGAAATACAATGAATAAATGAATATTTTATTAATTGAAAATCAGCTTTTGCTCCTTTCAAAATACCATCTTATCATTATCTACCATAAAAAAATTTCCAAAATCAGTTTTTATCCTTAAAATTCTACTTGAATCCAAACTTTTTCAACCGAATTTTCATGTTAGGAGTTAATTTTAATGAGTTGGTACTATAAAACTATTAATACTGAATTTTCATATTTCTTTCTTCAGATAAGAATACAAAAAATGTAATCAATGTTAAAATAATTATCAAATTATTACTGCTGATTTATCTAAGTTCAAAAGCTACTTTTGCTAATCTGAAGTAATGTTCTCGAAGCGCTAAGCATGCAACTGGCTTGTGCAGAAAAGAGTATCGTCCCAATCAAAAATAATCACTTTTTTATATTTAAAACATTTGTGTTAATAAGCAAGCATAAAAACTGTTTATGAGTTTGTTTGTTTGTTTTTTGAAAACCAAGACTGTATTCTGATTTATTTATTCTTCGCATATGAAACGATTGACTTATCTTGTTAAAATCTTTAAATTAACTGAATATTCTTTTAAGAATTTGTCATTTAAAGATTGCCTTCAATCTACAACACACAAACAAATCATTGAGAATTTCAGATTTATGCTTTTCAAGAATAAGAAGTGCAGACAGAAATCTCAGTTCAAATAAACAAACAAAGAAAAGATAAATTATGTAAAATGTACTGGTTTGGTGCTTTTTTGAAGGCTCTTAGCGCAAAATTTTATTTGAAATGAGCTTATTAATGTACTTGTTTCTTATTTTTTAGTTATCATCTTTTATATAGTAATTTATAAGGAAATCACCGTCCCTGTTAAGAAAGCTCTACGAGAGTTATAAACGAGGTTTTTTTATACTCACAGTGTGTTACATCTAAGGCTCAGTTTATAAATCGTTGACACGATCATCGTCGTCATCATCAGCTGTGCTTTCTTCCTTCTCCTCATGCATGATTACAGGATGATCAAAATATTTTGAAATCTCTTCGTCAAAAGGAAGGGGTTTCTATTAATAGGGAGCAAGAATTTCTGTGTCTTGCTTGCCCCTCTAAGATGAAAAGGATTCACCTTATGTTGAAGATGCTGTTTTTGGCTACTCCTTTTACTCTTCGATTCGAGATGATGTGACACTTTTATTGATGCTTTCTCTCAATTACTACTTTTAATTCTCTTCAATTTGCTTTTTTAACTATTCATTTTGTTATCTTTGCTACTCGTCTATCTATTTTTAAACAGCTTCTGGAGCTTAGAAACCGAGCTTTTAAAGAAATCTTTATCGATTCAGCATAAAACCAACCTATATTAATTCTTTTGTATAAAGACAAATATCTAATCTAATCTGGAATAACCTTCTTCTCTTCTAATCCCTTTCCCTTATATATTTAATTGGTTTGTCTGTTTATTTTCTGTTCACTCAATCAACAATATGACCTACAAGTCAAAAAAAACTTTAAGAATGAAAATAAGACTTCTTTTCTATCTTTATTTATTTATTTGTTTGTGAGTGAATTAATTAATTAGCACTTAATTTTTTTTTAGGTTTTTTTGTTTCCCTAATTTTTTTTTCTTTTAAGATTCCTTTCAAAAAAAAATCTTTTCCAATCGTTTAATAAAAGTTTTCAGCGTAAAGATAATTTGTTTTTCTATTTATTAATTATTTATTATTTTGATTGTTTTTTGTTTGATTAGTTGATTCTATCTATTTATTTAATTTCACTTTGATCCTAAATTCTTTGCTCTTTACCTGCCAAATAATCATGAAATATTACATACTAATTTTATAAAACCCCTTTGATTTCCAAAAAATTTTTTTGCATAAAGCATTAAAATATCAATGAAATAAATATATTTGATTCATTGACTCTGTCTATACTTTGTGTAATTTAAACCAAGAATAAATCAATCAATCAATCAAAATACATATTAAATAAGTAAATCAGTCATTCAATTAACATACAAAATAGCTTAACAAAATTTGTACTGCTTTAATTAGAATCTCGTCTGTCTCATTCATAGATGTAAGTAAGTACATTTCTTGAGATATATCTTTTTCAATTCTACCTTCATCAATTAATCTATCTATCTATCTAACTATCTATATATCTATTTAATAATTCAAAATATTATTTTGGAAATCTGCATTCCTTGCGATACTTTTTTTATTAATTTATATATTTATCCTTCATCATATATATTTCTTCTTCTTCTTTTTTTATATTAATTTATGCCAAGCAAGCCAAACAAAAATTATAAATAATAAATCAATCAAACAATCAGTTCAGATATTGATTGAAAACTTTTAAAGCAATCTATTTGATCAGATTGGGCTGAAAAGCAACTAATTTACATTCTTTGTTCTTCTTTCACTCCCATATTTAATATGACGTCTAAATGATGCATATTGCGTTTTGAATTAAATAAATACAAAATTTTTATTTTAAATTTGTAACTTTAAATAGTCACATACACAAGTATAGGCTAAATGCCTATTTAATTAACAATAATTTAGGTTTATTTAATTTTAATTTGTTTGCATGAGAGTAAAATGTGATTATACAAATTAAATATTAATTACTGACTATGATATTACATCTGTTAATATTAGTATAAAATTAAAAGAGTCAATTAGAACTAAATTCGAAATCTTTTCTCTTAACTTTATTCTAACAAATGCTATTTAAATTACTTCTAATTAAATAAAAAATACCAAGCAAGGTAGGTAGGTGTCATAACATTTTTTTTACATTTTTAATAAAAGAAATATTCAATAATCATTTACGCTCATTTATACACAAAACACTTTTTTTAAAAATCATTTAATAAAAGAAATAATCTAAATTTATTGTTTCTGAAATTCAGAAATTCTTTTGGGAATATCTACAAAAATCCCGAGGCCATTTAGAGAATCTGAATTGTAAAAAAAACGAATTAAAGATTATTTTTTATAATGGCTTTACAATATTTTACACAAATCTGTTACTAACTCTTAAAAACATGATAAATAACTTTAAAGTAGTATTTTTTTTGTTTTTACAATTAATTTTTAATAAAGATTAAAATTATTTTTAATTATTTATTCAAAAACAGCAATTTTTTGGGGGGGGGGTAGAAACCGGGGTACCAAAAACCCTCATTTCTTCCATATTATAGAATAATATTGTAGAAATGAGGGTTTATTTTGAAGAACCCCTATTTATACCTCCCCCCAATTTTTTTATCACAAAATTTCTACAATTTATTTTCAAATTTTTAGAAATTTGAATCATTTTTCTTTTTAAAGTAAATTTAAAAATTCAGTTTAACTATAATTTTTTTTTTAATTTACAAATTTCAAATTATTGGTTGAATGACAAAAATAAAATGTTAATAAATAATCAGAAAACTGATCAACAAGCATTAAAAAGATTATAAAATTAAATGGATTTGACAAATAACATCTTCTAAGTAAAATAAAATCTTGCTTTATAAAGTACTATCTTAGGGTTAGTTAAAATTCAAATATTTTTGAATAAATCTTAAAACAATTAAATATGATTTGATAAAGAAATTAAATTATTTTTTCAAAGATTAAAATTAATCAAATTAAATATAAATCTTTTGTTTTAGCATAAATTAGTTAAGATTTAATTAAGTTAAAATAGAAAAAGCTAAATTATTTTAAAAATAAAAAATGACAATTTATATAAAAAAAACAGTTAAACTTATAATTTTATATAAATTTAAATAAAATATTAATTTAAAATCTTTACATTTAATATAACGAAACTCCTCTTGTCTGATATTAAATTACTTCTTCTTCATTTCTTGTTTGAGAAAATATTTCACTTTAAAAAAACAAATCCTTTTAAAATATAAATTGCAATCCAAAAACTTAAAAATTTTGAAAATATTGCCAGAAAAAATTAGTATCAAATTATAAATTAACTTTAAAATAATAAATATAATATCTCATCAAATGTTTATTAGACTCATATAAATCTATGAAACAATACATAATTTAACCATATTGCTTTTTGATTAAATACAATGGAAAGAAATCTAACATGCATAATTAATTTTTCATAATTATTTAAAAGCTGATGAAAAAATTTAGTTTTTTGTCTTAAAATAGATAAAATTAAAAAAATAATTAAAATTCCATTTATTTTTATGTAAGAAAATAATCACAAGTTTATAAATAAAACTTAGTCAATTGAATACTTTAGAAATTCAAAAACTAATTTAAATAGATTTTTTTACAAGAAAGTTAGTAAATATCTATATTATATTTTAAAATAAAAGATTACTTTGAAATATGATAGAAATACTTTGATATGCTGATTAATTGATTGATATATGTATAATTAATAATAACTAAAGTAAAATATTGTTAAATTTATTATATTAGTGTGTGTGTTTTAAGAAGATTTTATTGCATAATCTATTTATTTGTTATAATTAACTAGATTTATTGCATTAATTATCTATCTTGCTTGAAATTCATAATTAATATTTTCAATTACAGATTTCCAAATCATCAATTTTTTAGAAAATTGAATTATTGTTATTCATAAAAATGTGTTCATTAGTTTCAATATTCTCATTATATTAATGTTAATTTTTAAAATAAAAATTATTTGCATGATTCACTTGCATCTATTAAGCTTAATTAATTGTAGTAACTTAGTTTTCGAAATCTTCATTTGTAGCATAAACTTAATAATAATCTTCGTTTGTATAATTTTCACAATAGGGTTATTAATAATATGGCTCTTCCTCTTCTTGTTGCTGTTGTTCTTACTATTCTTATTCTTGTTTTTGCTCTTATTTATTTTAATCCTGGTTGTTTGCTAAGTTGTTTACATTATTTTCACTAAAAATTTATTCGAAAGGAGGCTCATCAAGTATGTTAATTTAGTCATACATAAAATCACTTTAATGATCTTTTATATCATCGTCTTCTCCGTTTTTATGATGATTTTCTTTCTATTTGGCTTCATATTACTGATTTTAGTTTTAATGAATTTTTTCTTTTTAATATTCTGGAGATGAATCAACATTTCTGAGTTGGTTTTGTAATTTAATAAACTAAAAATTATGATTTTCTTATTATTAAGGTTGCAGTATATTACTTTGATATGGTTAAATTGGTTAAATGACATATTTATCTTGTTATGATTTTTATGAATATTTAAGTTTGTAGATATTTGCATTACTTCTTTCTTCTTTTTTCTCTGTAATTTCATATTATTACACTTCAATGTGTAGCACTTATTATTGTTGTTGATCTAGTTTCTTTTTATTGATAACTTTTTTCTATTCTAATTGGTTCTAGTTATTACTGTTAATCTATCTCTATTAGTCTTAAGATCTATGTTTTCTATCACTTAAAATTCCAAGATTATTGTTTTTTTAAAGCTCTTTACTGCTATATGATTCTGACTTTTATAGTTTTAAAGGTAACTAGGATTGTTATTACTGCTGTTATTTTGGTAGTTATTTATTTTATTCTTCAGTTGCTTGTCTGAAATTTTTATTTATTAGTTATACTTAAGATAGAGAATTCTTAAATATATCTGGTAGTAACTTTGTTTGAATCTTAACTTGTTGAAATTGAATTCTTTTTAAAAATGTATCGATAGGTCTGATGATATCTTTTCTGATCTAAAATTGATTGTGAGTCATCTTCTCAGGATAAAAAGCAAGCACTATCTTGCCATTTAATCTCATAGCCTCTTGGAGTTATTGAGAATGTTAATGTTTTATAAGACTGTCTGCTTGACCATGGATAAGTAGACATGGAGAACTGAAACGACATACATTTTCTATATTGTTAAATCTCTCTTTTATAAAATAGCTTACTAAGCTAAAAGCTAGCTCACCTGACAACTTCTTTATTGATGTAAAAGCGCTTAAGAGGATTACTCCTCCAGGTCTTCTTCTAGCTCCTATTTCACAAGCTGGTCCAGTTCCTATAGAACGACCAAACACGAATATCTTTGACTGATCAATACCTGAATCTACAACTAAAGAATCATAAACCTTTAAAGCATCTTGCTTAATTTATTCAGCAGATACCTTCTTGTCATATATACCATAACCAGGATATTCAACAGCTATAATATTTGCTCTTAAGCTCTCTCTCAAAAGCTTTAAGAACTGCATAGAGCTCCCCAAATCTTCAGCATTACCATGAAAAAATAAGATATAAATATCACAAGATTCTTCATATATTTTATAAACCATAGACATCACTGGAACGCGGTGGATCTCATCTAATTTTATAAAAAAAAGAATTAAACTAAGTTGCAAGCTAATTAGAACTAAATCATCTTCATGTAAAAAAACCAAAAAATACTGAAAAAATAATTCAAAATGTAAAACGAAACAAATTGCTAAATAAATATTTAACAAATTGAATCCTAAATAAGAAACAGATATTTCATATGGCTATATTTTGCTGCTGTTATATGTGTTTCTTGTCTTTAGTATAGCTGTAATTTAGTGAATAAATATTAAATGATTTATTAATGGTTACTTTGATTCTTTACTGATGGAGAATCTATAAATTAGATGGACGAATTTTCATCCTTGGTTCTTATGGATTACTCATTATATTGAGGTTTTGGACGAGGAAAAATGATTCTGTCTACAGACATATACAAATTATATGAATTGAGTTATTAGTAAGTATGAAAGTATATACGTATGTATGTATGTATTTAAGTAAGTAAATATATAAATAATAACTAACTAATAATTATTTACTTTATTTATTTATTTTTTTGTTTTTTTTCTAATTAGTTAGGCCTTCTTATAAATTATAAATTATGATTTTGATTCTTTCCAAATACCCAATCGATCAAACAAATAAACAAGCCCAATTTAGATAGAGATTTTATTAATTTTTTTCTTTTTCACTTTTTTGATAGGACTTGATCAATATCAAAACAAAAAAAAATTAGTATTAAAGATTCTTTTAAAAATAGTAAGTCATCGTTTAAAATTTCTATGATAAAGAGACAGAATTAAATTAATATCTTATTCGTAAAGCTAGCAATAAATTAATTTATTTATTTTAGTAACAAAAAAATTGTCAAAAAGTCATAGATATAACATAAGAGTCTATAAATTGATTGATTGTCTCTCTCTATTTTTATAAATTATATCTTACACCAATCAGATTTCGAATGTAACATTTAATATTGATAAACTATCTTTCATAGAAATTTAGCTTTTCTTAGGCAAGCTTAGTTAAAATACTCCACATTCAAGTAATTTAACAAATTTAACTTTTAAAAAAAAGATTAAACTTACTTTTTGCTAGACCTAAAAAAAAAAATTCAAAAAAATTTAATTTTATCCCAAGTATCTACTTTCCTTTTCTTACCAATAATTTGTGACTATCTAATGTCATATTTTCACTGGTGGTATTTTTACGACACTTCAGCAGAAAAATTCATTCAAGTATCAGAAATATTCTTATTATGTACTTTCTACCACGTTTAATCTTACAAATAATTTTTATTTATTTTAGTTCCTTTTATATAAAACTATAACTTAAAATAAATATATTTATTTATAAATATAAAACAAATATATTTTTAATATAACTTTAATTATATTTATTTAGTTTATATCTTACATAATTTATTTACTAAATGTATAAACTAATTTTTATTACTAAAATAAACAAATAAATACTCTAAACTAAATAAAATAATCTAAAATAAATTAAACTATTTTACATTTTCAAATAGCATTTAAATTAAATATAATTATTTTTTACAAGAAATATTTAAACTCTTTTATTTAATTATTTGAATAAATTAATCAATTTTATGATTTTATTAGATCTCATTGATCTGAAAAATTACTAATTAGTTAGATTAAAATTAAAATAATTTGATTTTTAACTCTGATAAATGATAAAAATAATCTATTTATTCATCCAAAAACTATCAAAAAACCAATATTGATGTAATCTATATTTATTTTAGAGTAATGAAGCTAAATTATTTGTTTTTTTATTTTTCTTTTGTCCGTTATGAAAATAAAAGCCAACTTTAATTATTATTAAAAATAAAAATAATTTATTAATATAACTTTCATAAATTAGAAAAGCAATTAAGCAATTTTAATATATTTTCTTCTTTTTTGATATAAATAAAATTAGGTATTAAACATATTTTTTACAATTTTCCTGATAATAATAATTTAAAATTTAAATTTTAAGCAATTAATTAAATAAAAATATTAAGAATAATTTTAACTCACTCAACTAGAAAGAGTTTAAACTTTGGAATGTTTGCTGAATTTATTTTTTTGATAAATAATCCTTATAAAATTCACATAAATAATTCCTAAAAATATAAAAATAACTTCATTTAATTATTTAATAATTACATAATGAAGACTTTAAGTTATACTTTTAAGAGTAAGTAAATTAAAAAAGAATCTAATTATTATATAGAAGATGCTTCTCAAATTGAAAAAAATGAAGAAAATAAAAGGAAGTGATTAAACTTTTATTTATTATTGAGTGCTATGAAAATTCTTCCATTTTTGAGAACAATTAATCGAGAAATATTTTTTTTATAAACTCTCTCAAAAATAAAAATTTTTTATTTCATATAAAAAAAATATTGTAATTTTAATTAATAACATGGTGAACATTGGAATAATCTTAATGAAAAATTGGATGAAAATATATCAAAATAAAAAAAATATTTAGTTAAAACAAAGACTTTTATAAAAATTTTGCCATTTATTTATTCTCAAATGACTGGTTTTAATTTGTGGAAATACTATTAAAAGATTAAATGTAATTCTTTTTTAATGTTTTTCTAATATTTTTTATTTCCTAATTTTTAAAAGATACTTTTTTTGAAATAAAAATAAATAATCCTTAATAATTTTTATAATTTACAACCTAACTAAAAATCAAATACAAAATAATGATCTTTATTTAAGTTTTTAATTGAAAGATGTCAAAGGAAGGGAGAGGAATTAAAATTATTAACAGCATTATTTATTTATTAACTTTGAACAAATCGACAAATGTTTTATAAATAAATATAAATTATAATTTCATTTTTTTAATTTTGTATTAAAAATAATTAATTAATTAATTTGAATTAAAGTTTAAAATAAAGAATTTGTAAGCAAACAATTAACTAAAGTTTTTAACTTCTTTTTAAACTCAGTGCTATCCCCATGCTTTTTTGTGCAAAGGCTATTTTTTCTTTTCTTAAGATTTACTTTTAGAATTAGATCTTTTTTTATCTTTTGGGTAATCTAAAACATTTCTTTTTATTGATTTTTATGGAGGCAACAATTTGCCATATAATTTTCTTTTTCTTTCCATTTCTTCCTTTTCTTCTTTTACTTCTCTTTAAGCCTTTTACTTTAATGATTCGTAATAGTTGTACTGTCCAAATGAACCTTATTTACTTTTAACTCCCACAATATCTGTCAAAACATTGCTGACTTCCAAAAATAATTTTTAGTTATTTTCATACATCCTTTCAAGTTAATCATCTAAAATAGTTTCATGAAGTCCTTTAAGCAATTAAAAGTTAGTTTCTGCTAGCTTTTCTTCTTAATTATTCCTTTAATAATAAAATAAATTTACAATTAAATTAATCAAATATATCATCTATCTTAAATATGTTGCTACTCTATAATATTATCTATATCGTATTGCAGCTGCTTAGCCCTAAGATAAAACTCTGTTTTCTTTCTTTTAATATTGTTAGACTCTAATTCTTTCTTAGCTTGTGTTATACCTTAGTTAGCATCAAACAAATCCTCTTCTATTTTTTAAGTCTTTTCAATTAGCTTATCCATTTCTAATTTCAATGTCTCAAATATAACCTTTCATTTTATTCAATAAAACGATTAAACTTTAAAAAAAACTTATTTTATTTTTATTAAAAGTTGAAAAACATATTCTAATAAATAAATAAATAAATGAATTACTTTCTTTTACTGCTTCCTATGTTCTAAATATATCTCTGGATTATCTGCATAAAATTGATCATGTTCCATCTGCTCCCTTAGCTCTTCTTATCGTTTTCTTTCTTCCTCCTTTTCTTTTTCCTCCTATTCTCTTTTAATCTGCTCCTCTCTCTCTCTATCAAGCCTTTCATATTCTTCAATTTATTCAAGCAATTTCATATTAGGATCAACTTTACATTCAGGAATGTACTTATCAAAATCATCTTCATCTCTAAATAAATTTTGATAATTAACAAACTAATCTTCATAGATAGATATTTATAAATAAATTACATTGATTAATCTAGTATGAAGTTTTAGTTGACAGGAATGACATCCTCTTCTTCAATAACTTATTTTTTTTTATATTCTTCACGAAGAATATCAGAATCCAAAGACAATTCACTCTTAGCTTCATTAGCTTCTTCTGTTATTGATTTTTTTACTTAATTTAACTTTTCTTTTGAATCTGCTTGTGATTATGCAAACTTTGAGGATTTCATTAAATTAGAATCTTTTTTTTTGAAAAATCAGTCAATTAATTTTTAATATCAATCAAATTTTATTTAAATCTAAACAAATACCTTTTTATCTGCCATTATTTTCATTATTTTAACCTTGTTTTTTATCAGAAAAATATCTGTCGTTTAGAGAACTCGCACTTTATTCCTTTAGGTTTGAAGCTTCCGCTTCAGGCTCTGGACCATTCTTCAGTTACTCATAATAATTATTCCAATATTCAACATAATGTTTCGTATATTCTAGTGCTAAATTTTAATATATCTGCTATTTTTGAGTGTTTTATTCTTAATTCTGCTATTGAGAATTAAAAAAGCCTTAAGGAGGATATCCTCCAGTAAATTAAGCTTACTAATTATATTACTACGGATAACCCATAGAACCCATATATTAAAAATCAGGTTGCATTTAATAAAACTATTATTAATAATTCATCTGCATTTGAGTAGGCATTTAATTGTATCCCATAAAGTTATTTATTTAAGGCATTTAAGGAACATTAATTAATTTAGGCATTTTAGAAAAAGCTTTATCTACATTCGAAGTTTTCATTTAAAAGCTTAGACTTCTTTATTTGAAAATAATGAGAGTAGTAAGTATTATGTATGTATAATGTAGCTAACTAGCAGTTTATTTGTTTATTTGTTTGATTTATAAAAAATACAATGAATGATATTTTAAAGATTACTTTCTAAAATTAAAAAAAAAGCAAATTTCAAACAATAATTAAATAAATGAATTTTTAATTTAGTGGACTTACTACAATCAATATTCGAGTTTTATTAATTGAAAAAAAAAAAATAAACAATAATTAAAATTAAATCTACTTTCTTTAATTTCTATTTTCATTAATTTTTAAAGATATTTTAAAAATGATTGCAACTGTTTATAATTTTTAGTATTTTGTTTTTTCAGTTCATGGTTATTCTAATTAATTTTAGAGCCTTTCTGAAAGAAATGAGAATACAATTTTATTATCTTATTTAATATTTCATGAATGTTTTAATCAAAAGTAAATTTATTAAAGAAATAATATTATTATTTAAAACAAAAACAAAAAAAAATACAATACTTTTAATTAGTACTTAAAAATAATTAAAAATATTTTCTTAAATCCTTTAAAAATATAAATTTTACCAGTTAAAAAAATAAAGTCACTGGACTAATTTTGTCAAAAAATAATATTTCAATCAATAATAATAAATTTTACTAAACCAAATTTGATATAAGTATCCATAAATATAATTTAATTTATTGAAAATTATAATGAAAATATTTTGTATTTGAGTTTTAAATAAACTATTGATTCCTCTTTTAATTTATTTAAAATAGTTTATTTTAAACAACTAAATAAGCAAGCTTCATTGATAAAAAATTTAGATGATTTGTGTATTAAATTAATTTTTGAAGAACAAACTTGTAAAAATCACACTAGAAATGAGTAATTAATTATTAAATTTCAAAATAATTTTTATTTTTGTGTGCAATAAAAGTTTAATCTTTTTCTTAAAAAATAAATTGTAAATTTGAAATTAATTAGCTTACTTATTTTTAAAAAATCCAATCATAAATTTTTGAATTGATTATGGATTTAAATTAGTTTCATGAAAAATCAAATTATAAATATGTTTCAACTTAAGAGATAACATAAATGCTACAGCAAAATAATTTTATTAATTTAATAATAATTTTTTACATTAACTATATTTATAATAAGGGAAAGATGGATCATTTATTAGTCTATTATTCTTATTAGTTTTTTGAATTATTTTAAGAGTTTATTTAATACTTATTTATACTTTAGTATTTTAAACTCTTCCTTCATATTATGCATAGATTAAAAACAGACTTAATTTCAAATCAGATTATAAATGCAAGTAATTATGAAAATAATTTTTATTTTAGTTTTATGTAAAATAATATTTATATTTCCTTTAAAGATAAATATTAATTTTGAATAGTAAAATTATTAAGTAATTAAGTATCCTTGAAAGTTTTTGAATTATCTTTTGTATATAAATTAGGTTTTGAAGAATAAACTAACATAATCAGATAGATTTTGAAAGATAGAAAGAACAACTTATAATGAAAATAATTATTATTTAAGATTTAAAAAATTTTATTAATTTCTTTAAATTTTAATTTTGAACAAATAACTAACTAACTAAGATGGTTGACTTAAAAAAACTTAAAATATTTTGAATTATTTAAATATTTAAATAAAATTATTAAAGAGTAAATCTAAAATAATCAAAAATGTTGAATCTATGATTCAGTAAATATATCATAATTAATTTGGAATATTTAAATTTTATTCTCTAATTATTAAGAACTGATAAATATTTACCATCTATTCTCTGATATTATTTGATTGAATTTTAAAAATATTAAATATTTTTATCAATTATTATCAATTTATTTAAAAATCTTATTAAAATATAGAGCACTTTATTTAAGAAAATAGACAGTATAAATTATTTCCTTAATATTTTTATATTTTTCTGATTTAATTTAATAATATTTTTGCTTTCAAACTTTCAAATAGAGTTATTAGATTTAAAAAACGAAAACATAAGTAAAATATTATAAATTTTAATCATTTCAGTAATTTTAATTGTACTTAAAAAACTCATAGATTAATTCTTAAATACTTATTTGTAGTTATTTGAAACTAAATAATTATTTAAATAAACTAACACTAAAAAAATTATATGTAAATTTAATTTTAATTTTTTTACCTGTTTTGAAGTTTAAAAATTAAAAATAATTTTAGTTTTTATTTTAAATTAAAATAATTTTTTTATTAAAAAAAATAAATTTGATATTAAAAATGGTTTTAAAATGGAAATTTCGATAAATAAAAGCGAAAATCATATTTAATTTTTGAAAATTTACTTTTATCCTTAGCAAATAAATATATTTTGAAAGAATAAAAACAGACAAAATAAATAAATAAATAAATAATTTTTGTTTGGACTTTGCTTGATAGTGTTAAATTATGAATAATTTAGAATTAATTCAAATATTGAATAAATAACACAATAAAGCAAGCAAGCAAGTATAATAAATTAATTATTTAATTGAATTAATTTATTATATATTTATTAATAGTCTTTTTTAATAATTAATAAATTTTTAAATATAAATTGAGTTAGTTTTTTTGAAATTATAATATTTTTTTTTCAGATTAAAATTAAAAAATGACATATATTACAAAATAAATTATTAATAGCTAATTCATCTATCTCTATAATTTATATTCAACAGAATTAGTTTATTCTACAATAATTAAATTTATTCTTTGTGCTTATTAATTTATTATTAATGTTCCTATTATGAAGTAAGTACTGTTTGGTTTTTTCAAAGTTTTTGCATGGTTTCAACATCAACGGATTGGACTTCATCTTCCCAAGATTGGATGGGTTCGAAGATACTGTCGGTGTTGACCTTATCGTCTTCAATGATGCAACCCATTTGGAGCATGAAGACACCGAAGGCAACGGGGATCTTCTTGTGTTCCTTGTTCCAGACCAAACCGTCGAGTTGGATGGTTTCGTAGATCTTCTTGGCCAAAGCGTCTAAGTCTTATTCAGCTTCGAAGACCTTGACGTTGAAGACGAGGATAGTCTTGGCAATAGCCTTCTTCTTCTTACCATCTCTAGCTTCCTTGGCAGCGACGGCTTCGAGTCTCTTCTTTTCTCTCAAAGCTTCAGCTTCAGCATCTTCTTCATCATCATCACCGAAAAGATCGACATCGTCCTATTTATATACAACAATAATTTAGAAAAATGGTTCTATGGTCAATGAAAATCCTATCTTTGCTTGTCGCTTGCATGTTTTCCGATATATATATCAAAGGGGGAATAGGTATTTATTTATATATCAAGAAAATTTATTTTTATTCATTTTATCTTTTGTAAGTTAGTAAGTAAATAAGCTATAGGAGTTATGGGTAGAATTAAAATGATTTCCATTGTTGTTATTGCTTGATAAAAGAAAAATTTCTTACGGTCTTGGTTTCCTTCTTGGCTTCCTTCTTGGCAGCAACGGGGACGGCGACGGGAGCAACATCAGCCCAGGTATTTTGAGCTTCGGGGGTGAATAAACCGATGAAGCTGAACCAGGCATAGACGTTGGGGTGGGTGGCGGCGTTGAGGGCAACCTTCTTATCTATATATTTAAAATAATATTAATAAATTATTAATGAAAACTTGAGTGTGTTTTAAGAGAGCAATATTGACTAAAAAATTTCAAAGAAGTTTATTTTCTTCAATCCATTATTTTAAAATTTTCTAAGAGAAAAAAGTCTAAGTGGAAGAGATCACCGAATAATGAGTGAATGAGTAAGTAAGTGAATGGATGGATGGATGTGAGGGAGATAATGATTAGTAAATAAATAAGTTACCCTTGAGTTCGGTGGCAATTTAAGCATCAATCTTAGCGGGCTTATCAGTACCGGAAAGGTAGGTGTGGGCAGCTAAGTGCTTTTCGAGGGTGGGGAGGTCGGTAGCAGAGAAAGTCATTTTAGAGAATTGGTTTGTTTTTTGCTTTTTGTTTTTTAGTTTTTGATAATAATTTATTAAATTTACTTTATATATCTTTTCCCAGAGAATTTATTTTTTAATGTATATTAAAAATACGTACAAATGCAAATCTAAAAATAATCTAAAAAAGCAAACAAACAAAAATATATATATTTTTTTGATTGTCTCAAAAAAAAAAAGATATTTGTTTATCGAATGGAAAAAAAGAAGGAATTGACTTAAAAAGAAATTTATAGTTTTTTAAGTTTCTATCAATCTATTAAACAAGCAACCAAGCAACCAATCCATCTCATATTATAAATATACTATTTCTTTATTCATTCATTCATATTTTGTTATCTCTCTATATATTTTTCAATCTAACTTTTTATATTTCAATCTATAATTTTAAACTCCTTTTGATTTCAAAATTCTTCCTTCCTTTTCTCTCTCCACATTCATTCCATCATTCTATTTTTCTCTTTCTTTCTTTGTAAATATATTTATTTATTTACTCTTTTTCTTTTCTTGCTTTAATATGCAAGGTTTAAAGTAAAAGAAAGAAAGTCTATTTCTACTTAAATTTTAAAGGAAATATTCTAACGAATATCTCGTTGAATAGTCAAAATTGCATTAGTTTATTAATTGATATTATTTTTGCTGTAAAAAAACTGAATTATGCTTAAAAAATATAAAATAAGTTCCAAAAATTTGTTTGGTTTGAGAAAAAATAAACACATATAAATTCAGTTGAAAATTAATTTTGCTTGTATATTTGAATTAGCTCTATCTTTTGATTATCATATTCAATAGAATAGGATTAATTGAAAACGATCAAAAAATATCCAACAAAGAACGAAAGACAAACTTGTTGGCTAAAAAAGGTAATAATAAATTCTTGCTTTTGCTTTTGAAAAAATTTAATAATAATTCTTCTATCTTAGTTTGCTGCTTGTTTATTTGTTTTGCTAGAAACTTTAACTATAAATCATCTTTTTATTTGTTATTTAAATGATTGAAACATAGATTTCTACAGAAAATAAAAGAAACAAGCAAACGAGCAGAACGGTCATCTCTCTTACCTTAACTATAAATTATAATAGTTAAGCTAATTGGTTATAAATTTTATTAATTTTAAGGTGGTCAATTATTACGAATTTCAAGCTTATCGTTTATAAAAAATTTTTATTTATTGTCTCGAAAAAGGGGGTCTATTCTGGTCTGTTTATTTATTTATTTGGTATTAAATTCAAAGAAAAAAGAAAAATCTAAAATGAATAAAACAGACCCATTCGCTCTTTAATTTTCAAATAATTAGAACAAAGTTATTCTAAGAAAAGTTAATGAAAGCGTCTATATGGGATTAAATTTAATCTTGTCCAGGCTATATTTGGCTTTTTTGAGTAAATTAATAAATTTTGCAGAAAAAAATGTATCTTTAAAAAACAAAAATTTCTTAAATTTATTCAAGAAAAAAATCTAACTAGTAAAATTTAATTTTTTTCTATCAATTTGCTTAATGCATTTATTAAAAAACATTTAAATAACAACTACTTTTTTAATTTGATTGCAATTACGATATTATTTTAAAGCCCCCTTCTAACTCTTAATTAAAAGATACAAATAAGAGTTAAATAGAATCTTAAGTATATATATCTTAATTCCGCGTAATTTATTTGTCTTGTAAACATTTTTTTTTCCAAAAATAAAAGTAAAATCCAATTCATATCTCTCTAAATGGTCTCAGGAAACTTTAGCAACTTCTTGCCTGAAACCCATTAAGTTTAAAACTTTCAATAAACAGACTACGCATATGTTAAAAGCTATATTTTTAATTAACTCAATTATAAATTTCATCATGAAATGTACAATTTAATTTCTCTAAAAAATAGTTTTTTTTAAATAAAAATCACTTAAAACATAAAAAAAATACCATTAACTCAGATATAAGTTAAAACCAGACTCTAATTCATCTAAAAATAAAAGCAAATGTCTGTACTTAATATTAAAAACATACATTTTTACATTTTATAGGTTGGAGGAATGTTAAACTGTTTAAATCTTTCATTTAAAACTACAATTATTAAAAATCGGAGTGTTTAGTATTGTAGTTTAAAATATCTCAGACTTATATAAAATAATTTTATGATTAATAATCATTATTACAAATTGGAAATTTAAAAATTTTAAAAAACCATATTTTTACAAGCAAAATATGAGTTTTTTATTTTATTAGAAAGAAACTACTCTTTTAAGCTTAACTTATATAATAAAGCATAGCAATAAAAGTGAAATTTTATTGTAATTAAATGAAATGAACAAAAAACTTAAAGGATTATCAGTTTAAATGGTAAATTGATAAATTAAAAAAATTTTCATTAAAATAGTAAATTATAAAAAAATATTATTCTTTTTTAAATATCTAAGAGTTTTTAGCAAATAAGGTTAAAAATAAAATAGTGCAAGATAAAATATATGATTATTTAAAATTAATATTGTATATAAAAACAGAAGCACACTTATTTTGCTTTACTTACTGGTTTAAAACAAGCATAAACTAATAAATACAAAGGCATAACTTATATCACAATTTAAATTAATTTTTTATAATTTAAATAAAAAATAATTTCTCTATTAAAAAATAAAATTTTGTCAATGAAAATATATATAATCAATCATGCTTATACTGTTTTTTGTAAAAGTATAAATTAGGTATAATCAAATAAGGGCATAATTTAACATATCATATTTTAAATACATAAAAAGTTTTATAATTAAATTGCTTTTATAGTAATTAGATAGTTAATTATTCAAAATATTCGTTAAATGTATTATAAAAACTTAAGCATGATAATTTTTTTGCATTTAAAAATGAAAATGAAAATATTTAATATAAAAAGATTGAAAGTAAAAATTTTATGGAGTTGTATACATAATATATCTAGGAGGGTTTAGTAAAAGCTAAATAAAATATTAATTAATTTAAAAAAATAATTAAAGAGAGAAATATCTTTTTTTTAAGTTAGTCTGAATAAAAATTTCTCAAGATTGACATAGTCGCAAATTAAAGGGTTAGATAAAAACTAAATATATTAAAAAAGTATTATTTTATTTTTTAAAAGATAATTTTTTATAATTGAAAAAATTAAAAGTTTTATTTAATTTTTAAATGAAAATTAAAAATATTTAATTTATCTCTTATGAAATAATTTTGCTTAGTTTGAATTAAATTCTTAAAATTTGTGTGATTTATTTTGATTAATAGATTTATTTATTAATTATTTAAAGTTTGTTAAATTGAATAATAGGAATTAATTTTTAAGTTTTAATTAATGAATTAAAATATATTTTATCCAGATGAATTATTAAAAAATAATAGAGAAAAATCTTATAAATCTAATTAAATAAGAATAAACAATTTCTTAAATTGCAAAAAATTATTGTCAGTTAAATTAAACTTATTATTTACTTACATATTAAACTAAATTTAATATTATTTTTATCAATTAAGGCAATTTTTTAAACTTGAAATAGCATTTTTAAAAACTTTTTATACAATTTTTGATATGAAGATGAGCTTAATTACTTTTTTTCTATTATTATTCGTTAATTTGATATTTTTTTATTTTAAATAAAATGTAAATATTTCGATATTTTAGTCAATATAAGTAAGATTAATCTTTTGACTCTGAACTATTTTATGACACATAAGATTTTATAGAATTTTGAGGTTAAACTTGATTTTTATTGCTATTTTAAGGTGTTGATCCAGAAAAATTGTTTGAGTTATTTTCTTAGGATGGTTGCTTTGTAATCACAGCATCTTAACTTGTTATATTTTAGTTGCTTAATTGCTATTTTAACTATTAATAGGGGCTGCTATTTTGGGACGGTAACTTTGATAGAACTTATTCTGGCTTAGCAATATTTTTTATATTATTTATGTTTTACTCTTTTATGCTATTTCTTTTTTAATTGAAATCCTCCTAAAAGTAAATACACTGCTAAAGACTCTTAAATTTTAGGTTCAAATTGCAAAATTTTTGCAATACTTCTTAGCTATCGCTGCACAGAGACAAACTATAAACTCTTCTCAATGCAACTTGCATCTAATGACTAAACTGAAATGTTGGAGAAAAATATAGAATTGGGAAAATCAATTTTTTATTTTTGAGCAATTCTAAAAATGAATTGAGTTGATTTACTTTGCTACATTTAAAAAAATCTTGATCTTCTATATAAAAAAATATTCTCAGCTTCTCTCCACTTTTTAAGGAGAAATACTAGCTCTTTATATTCGTTAAGCAAACAATAAATTGCACCATTTGCTCAAAATCATCAAATTTTCTTATTACAACTTAGTTCTCAGCACATTCATTGTAAATGCATTCTTATGTTTCTTGTTCTTGTTCTGTCGATTCATCTTAGAACATTTCAAATCTTTTTTCTTACTCCTAAGAGGGAGATTTTAGATGAAAATAAAGCAGTATTTTTTAGTTTTAATCGTTTTCTTTGTTCTTGTTTTCTTTCTCAATGTACTCTCTAATCACTTCTTTTGTTGATTCAACCTTTATTCAATAATATATATAATTCTTTCAAAAATATCTATTTTAGTTAGATAAAAAATGTAAATTTTGTATGAAGCTTACTCTTGAGTCAAGTTCTTCCAGCAAATCGCTGAATTCTTGTTCAAATTTAGACTTTTCTCTAAACTCTAATTGGGCAGACTTCCTAAACAAGTCAATGAAGAGAGATAAAAAATATAAGAACAAGAAGAAGCTGATTATTTTAAATATTGCTGGGAATATGTATAGGTATGGTATTGTTTATATCGTGCCATAACCCTTTTCGGATATTTCTTGTATGTTAGTATCAAAAGCTGAAAGAAATGCTGTTGCTATGTCGTAATATAGCTCAGATAAATCTGAATATAATTTTACTTAATTCATCTAAACAGCAAATAAATAAACTATCAAAAACATCACTAGAGCCATAAAAATACCAGGAAATGTCTTGAACACAACATTAGAGAATTTTTTTAACCATCTAAAGTATTTAAATTGTGTTATCCAAGTAAATATTCTGAAAGGCAATATCAAAAATATAAAGAGGGCACTTAAGTTTTGCATTTTTTGCAATTGATCTAAATTTTTTAAAGTCTAAAAATTAACAATTTTTTTGGAGAGGACTTGAATAGCAAGATTGAAGCCAATGTATGCCCAGCTAGCTAGCATATTAACGAGATGACCAACAAGCGTCCATCGATTAGTAACCAAATTAAATTCAAGTAGCATTTTAAGGTTGTAAAGAATATTTAAAACAAACATAAACACCAAAATAGTAATTGTAAAGGCTTAGTCATTATGTATAATGATACTATGCTATATTGATTTAGAAAGCAAATAGGTATTTGTAGAATCATATTCAGTTATAAATTGAATGTAAAAGTAGCTCTGCGAAATCACATCGTACATACTGAATTCGCACATAACAAACACAGTATCTGAATTAATCCATTAATGTTTCTACATTGCATCTAATATATCAGAATAGTTGTCTCTACCTAACATAGCAATATAAGGACAATCTCCATAGTAAGAAAAGTAACCTTAAGTAGCACAATTTTAAGTAAAATTCGAATTATCAGCTACAAATATCTGCTAAATTATATCTTGCTCTCGTTAGCTCATAATACTTAAATCACAAACTGTAGAATTTGAAACTGAAGTATCATGTATGCATGTTATCTATTATTATAGATCAGAGTTAGAATTTTATCTAACAGATTAGTATATAATTGGATATGCATACAGCAAAAAAGGAGTAGGAAAGTTTAAATAAATTTAAGGGATTAACTTTTTTTAAAGAAATTTGTACAAATCAGCGTTTTAATTTATGGAGTTGAAGGCATCAAAAGAGTAAATTTGTTTTAATTCTGATATTCTTATTTGATTTTGCTAGCTAAACTCCTAAAATAATACCTGAAGAGGATAAATAACAATGAGTAATCCAACTAGGATATTTTGCAATTCGCTGCTCAATAAGAATAGCTTAAATAATTTTACAAATTTATGAGCATTAACAACTCGAATATTCATTTTTTTTCAAATTATTTTGCTTTATTTTTTTTGTATATTATATATACCTTATTTTAAATATAAATTGATTTGATCAATAATCAATTTGTTAGTTAAATAAGTAATTCAATCATAAAAAATATTTAAAAGTAGAAATTAATTGCTAGCTTCGTTTTAAATCTTAAATATTTTAAAGCAAATCTTTTAAATAAACAAAACTACTATGTTGAAATAATTATTTTCTTTTTTTTATAAATAAGTAAATTTTAATGGTTTGTTTTAAAGATTTTAGAAATTCTAATAGTTTTAAATAAATTAACGAATTATCTCCACCATCATATTACAAAATTTTTTTTATAATCCTTTATTATAGTTTTTCATTTTTTCATAGTACGTACATTCACACACAAATAGCTATATTTCAGCTTAAAAAATTAGCAGCTTAAAATTAAAATTTTTAAAACAAATTTTAGAGATAGACAGACAGACATTCAATTAAATATTTTTTTAATTTAATTTAATGAGCTATTTTTTTAATAAATTTTAAAAATTTAAATTAATTTGATATTATATTGAAGATGAACGAGCACAAATAACTTTTAAATATAATTTTTAAAGAAAAATATTTCACATTTCGTTTAAATAAAAAACATAAACAAATAAAGATCAGCAAATATCATCTAAAAAAAATATGTTTTGAACTTTAAGATATTCAATATTAATTGTATTGAACTAGCTTATGAGTCTTCATAATTTTGATGAAATACTCATTAGAATGTATTTAATTATACCTATTAAATAAAATTGTTATTTTTAAGATTTGATAATAGTCTTTAAAATTAATTTACAATAAATTGAGCTGTAAGCATTTTAGATTTTCACATCTAAATATTTGTAAACTTAAAATATTTGCACCTTAGTCTTTAATTTCACACTCTCTAAATAATATTTTAATAGAAGTTTAATTTTATTTTTAAAAATAATTTTTACCTTAAGTTCAGACTAAGAATATTCAAATTTTGAATAAAAGTAATGTATTCACCTAAGTATTAACATCCTAAATCATTAATTGAGTTATTTCTATTTTTTAAATTTATTATTTATTCTAAGAAACTTACTATATTCATAAATTGTAACAAAAAAACATAAAACAAAATTATTTCAATTTTAAAAAATACAAGAAATATACTAAAATCTAAATACTCCTCGAACATTTTAGTTGATTGAATAATTTTAGAGTTTTATCATTACAAAATTAATAAAAAATTCAAAAAGAAATGCAATTAATTAATAAATTACTGTAGATTCAAATCTAAGATTTGTAAATTTTTACAATTTACTAAGAATTTCATTAGCAAACAAGCATCAGAAGTGATCTTACAATCTCTTTTGTGTAAATAAAGAATAAAATTTTAATAAAATTTATAAAAAATATACTTTACCTTAAGGATAAACTCAATGAAGTTAGATTTTAGCATTATCCTATTTTTTCACCTAATTTCAAAGCTCCTTAATCGCTGATTTATTAATTGTAGCTATTTATTTATAATTGAATTATTCAATTTATTAATAATATGTTCATTTGCTTATTTACTCTAATTAGAGAGAGAGCTTGCTTAAAAGACTACATTTTGATATACTTTCTGCTAAAGAAGAGCAGCCTTCAGAAGTAATTTAACTTAAACTATTAAAATATAATTAATATAAAAAGTACTGATTATTCTAATTAATTACTAAAGACTCAATTAAAGAACATTCAAATTTTAGAGCTTAGGAAGCATATTTGATATGAAGGAGACACTTTAATCTTTAATTTAATTTCCTCTATTTAATTTCATATTTATATGATAAATGTCATAAAAAAATTTAAATAAAACCCTAATGAAAGTCCTAAATTATTTAGTTTTTAGCATTAATGGATGCTTTTCGTCAAAACTTATACTCCTAAATCATCAATTTAATTGTGACTATAAAATATTTTCAAAAATTTCAAAAATCCTCAATTAATATTTATTTTTTAAAAATATTTTATTACTCAATACTTAGATCTATTTTAGTGAGATTATTACTCTTTTCTTAATTTGGAACTTGATTAACATGAGTTGTTTATATCTTATTTTACCTACAAATAATTTTATTTAAATAGCTTTAATATATTTTTTATAATTTTTAATCGAATCAAGTTTCTGAAAATTAAAATTGCTTAAAATTAAAAGCATTTTTCTTTTGCTAAAAATTTCGATTTTATTTTACATCAAACATATCTCAATGAAATTCAGATTTTAACATTCATAAAGCTAATCCAAATAATTGTGCAATATTTGTTGGTCAATTTAGTTACTCCTGTATTAAGTTTAAATATTAATTATTTTTACTATTAAAATTATTAGCTCTAAGAAAAATAAACATGAAATTTAGTGAAAATGAGTTTAAACTAGAGCAACTTGCTAAATATTTCGCAAAGCTAATACTTCCATGAGTTTGAATTATATTATTGCTATTGTATAAAATTTAAATATTTAAATTATGCTAAAAAAGAAATAATTTATAAATTCACCTTAGTTGTAAATTAAATTTTTATAAATACAAGCATCCAGAAATGCCTTGCCCAATATACTAAAGACACTCATCATCAATTTAGCAATAACTGATTTAGTATTAAAAATAATGATATTATTTCCAAAAACTGGTTTAAATCCAAATTTACTCCAAATTCAAGTCAAAATTTGTTATGTTTTTCAGATGAGATATTAACTTACCTATTAATTAACATCCATATAATCCAATTTTACAAAACCTAAATTTATTATATATAAAAGATATCATTTAAAAAATGAGATATTTTTAATAAGGATATTACATTAAGCTTATTTTAAATGATTAAAGATTGCAAGCAGCAGGTGCTTCTTCATCAAAATTATAGGTATTATCAAAGCTTAGTTAATTAGAACTTTGAAAAAAAATTAAAATTTTAATAAAGTTATAAATTTAATTAATACTAAAGATTTAGATCAAAAGAAACAAGTTTTTTGCAATTTAGAACACCTTGGAATATATTATGAGCACATTTTTAACCTATTTATGTTCTCCTATTTATTTTTGAAGTTTATAATTGAAATTTACAATTTAAAATGGAGTTTTTACGCTAAATCTATTTTTAAATCAGTAAGCTATCCTAAGTTAGCTATGGTTTCACCTAAATTAGAATCATTCGCAGTTCCAATTAAAGTATCTCTTTTTTAAGTTTATTGCACATAAAAAAACTTTTCATTAAATATTCACTAATAAAGTTACGATAAATCTAAGTTTAGCTAAGTTAAACTTTTTAGTTAACTTAGAGCAGTACTTAATTTGTAGAATCCAATTTCATCAATACCAAAACTAGTCCTTAATTAAATTAATGAAATATTTTTTTATCTTTAAAAGATAATTTTTCAAAATTTAGATAAAGAAAATTTTTAAAATGGCTTTATTTTTAATAATTTATTTTTAATTAATTCTTTCTTAATTGATAAAAAAATAAATATCAATCAAAGTTTTTATTATTTTATTTGCAAAAACAAACAAAAAGAAAGAGTTAAATAAATTAATTTGGTTATTCATGCTGATAGAAAATTACAAATTATTATAGAGTAAAGTAAAGTATAAAATAAAATAATAAACAAAATTATTATTGAAAAAGAAATTTAGAATCTTACCTAAGACATACATTTAAAGTATTTAATTAAACGCATGATATAAGCGCTTCAGATAGTTATTAAAGACTTATTTATTACTACCTTTAATAAATGAATAATAATAGATTAATATGTTAAAATATTTTATTGAAATAAAAGTTACATAAGATATAAAGTAAGGCTTGTGATTTATTTCCATTGTACAATAGATTGACTTAATTAAAGAGACAATTCTTCATCAACTCCACTATTAATATTTAATCGATTACTCATTCTATGATTTTGGTACTAAAATTCAATTTACTATGAACCAAATGTCAAAATTTTAAGATTAGAGCATAATTTCATAGACTGATTTAGGTAATTGAAGTATTCTTCAATAGGATAACTTTATCTATTTCGATATTGATTAGTTCAAAAAAATATCATATTTAACTTACTCAAAATGTAATTTAAGTTCCCTAGGATTGCTTTTACTAAAGTTTTAAAAAAAATTTAGCAAATAAATGTTTGAAGATAAAAAATATACATCAACTCATCGATTTATTTCTTATAATTTTCTGCCATCTCACTCTTATCAGTTTTAAACTATAAATAAAGTAATTTTATTTTTAAAATATTATAAAAATCATATTTTTTTTTTTATATTTTTGATTTATACTATTTTTAATTAATTACTTTTTATTCTAAAGTTTTTAATATTTTCTTAAGTATATTTGGCTTAAATTAAAATTTGACAATTAAGTACATACACTGCTTATTTAATCTTATAAATATGAACACCCAATCCAAATTTTATATTCTGATTATTGATAATATTAATTTTAGTCGAATTTATTTAATGCTGATACTCATTATTAGTGTTGATAGATTTTTAATTTAAAAATTAAAAATTTTTTTTCAAGGACTAAATTTTTACAAAAATTTTAATTTGAGTTTGTCCTTAATTAATGAGAAACCAAGGTATTTTAAAAAATACATTTTATAAATAATATAAATAGTTGTTCATTATTTATTTATTTATTTTTAAAATATTAAATTAAAATAAATTATTAATTTGATATTATCTTTTTATTGTTTAATATCAAAATAAATCCAAATAAATTTTTTATTTATAATTTTATATTTAATTATTAAATAATTTATATTTTTTTGAAATAATTAATTTATTTAATCATATATTTTTTTTTTATTCCACTTTAATAAGAATTTAACTTAAAAGTAGTATTTGATTTTGTGCGTGTTGTGAAAATTTGAGAGAAACAAACAAATGAGTAAATTTTATATTATTATAAAGCAACTAAATTAATTTATACATCATAAATTAAGAAAAATGTTAATTTTTAAAATTATAATTTAGTATAATAAAATAAATTAAAAGTATTAATTTCAGTTAAAGAAAAATTTTGTGTATTTAGAGCGTCTTTATAGTGTTTCGCTTATACTTGGCAGTCTAAGTGCTATTTAATTTTTGATTGAAATATCTTATTTTTTTGTTAGACTATGTTATGGTAGTTTTATATCTTAAGATGAGCTACTTTTATCAACTTTATTTGTGTTTTACTATACTTGATCCTGCTAGTTTTATTTGCTTTAGTTAATTTATTCTTATTCGTACTTTACAAATTTAGGAGGAGATTATAATTGATCGTTAGAATTTTAAGTTGCAGATTCCTGAATAAGGATTTTCTTTTCAAGAGAATTATTTAAGTTTGTAAGAGAGCTTTATTCAGTCATTTGCTAGAAAGTATGCTTTATCTTATTCAAATTGGCTACCTTCTAACTTTTAAGTAACAGCTCATAAAAGTAATCTTTAGGTAGAGGATTATTGGATTCCTTTAATTATGTTCTAAAATACCCTACATCATCTCCTATAGGCTTCTTTTCGTATAAAAGTTGACCTCTCAGATTAATGAGAGATAGTTTTTTATTAACTAAATTAAAATTTGATATCGGTGATTGAATTTATTTTAGTAAGCTGTTTGAAGCTTTTTCGTTTCCAGCACTCCTTTCTTTAGTTTTCTCTAGAGAATTGTATTTTATTCTTTAGTTGCCTAAAGATTAAATGTTTTTTGGTAATCTGAATTGATACTCCTATTAAATTTTTTCATGTATTTATTATTATTTTTAATCGGCTGTATTTTTCAATTTATTATTTGGGAGAGTAGCCTTTGACTTCTAGAAAATATTGTTTAAAATTCCATCATCTAGTTCTAGTTTATTTGTGAGGTTTAGAAGAGTCTTGTCTGCCGAGTTCAGTTGAAATGAGGACTTCTTTTATTTTTAAATTATATCTTTTGACGAATAATTCTTCATATCATTAGTCTGATGAGGAGAAGAAATCATACTAATTTGATTTGAAGGATTTACAGAAATTATTTGATTATTCTTTAAAATGCTATCTTATGAAGGTAAATCTATTTGACCATCTAAAAGCTAACTTAAGTAAGGCAGGTTGTTTTGGTAAGACTAAATTCTTTATTAAATATCTTCTGATTTCTAATTCGAAGACATATTTTTGAGTATATCTTAGTTATTACTGATGTTATTATTTAAGTTACCTATTTAGTTTGAAGTTTTCAAAGTATGTATGTTAGATTCTGTGCTTGGCTGAAGCAACTAATTAATTGATTGGTATCTTTCGTTATCTAAAATCGATAAGTTATTTTAATTATGTTCATTGGTCTTATTTAAGATAAATTATGATATCAAGCTATGGTCTTGTGAAAATATTTAGTTGTTTGGATTACCTTAATTCAAAGAATCCTAAACATAATATTTTTCAATTGAATTCTAATGACTGTCATATCCCTCGTTTATAGAAGATTTATTTATTGAGCTTTATTCCTAACTTAATTTTTTTGTTCTCTTTGAATTTTTTATTTTTTTCACTTCAATTTTCTTGCTATTAATGTAAATAAATTTAGTAGGTTCTCTCTGCTATTTTTTTTAAAGGTATTTCTTTTCTAGCTGCTTTATATCAACCACCTTATCACTAGCATCTTGATTATATGATTATGGCTTATCTGAGTTTTAAGTTATACTTTCATTCAAATTGTCATCAGCATTTTTCTTAGAGTTATCATCGTTCAGTATATTCATTATTAAAAATTAAGATTTACCAGTTTTTTTTCTATCAGTGCTGATTTCTAAAGACGATTGCAAATCTTCTTTCTATTCATTTTCTTAAGCTATGCTGAGTTCTTTTTACTGCTAAAATATAGAAGGAAGCGCTTAAAGCTGTTTATAATTGCTTTATTATAAATTCTTATTTTTAATACTTCTGCTAGATTTGCTCTAGTAAGAAGCAGAGACACTAGGATCCTCGATTAATTTGATAGAAGAAGGTTTTCTATTTTTTATTTCTATAAATTATGAGCTGTTTATCTATTACAAAGTAGGAATTTATGCTAAACTAGAAACTGCATTAATTTAATTAATTTCAAAAAACAAATGATTTAAAAGCTCTTATGACTTAGCATAGCTAAATTAACACATGCATATTTGTTCATTATAAAACTGATAAAGTTTTTTTGACTATTTCGAAATCTGAACTAATTTTTCTACATCTTTTGGTTATAATTCATCATGTTTTTTCTCTCTTAAATCTTTTAATTTCAAATGTTACACTAATCTTTGTTCCCAAATTTCAGCCTTCATCTATTTTTTAATAAATTAAAATTGAATAATCTAAAATTATTTTTGTTTTAACATTATCAAAATGGAATATAACTTATACTGTATGTTTTCCCTTATTAATACTTTGCTATGATAAAATTTAAATATTTTTATGCCTTTTAATTAAATAATTTTATTCTAATTTATCAGCTAATTGCATATTTTGATATTACGAAAATACAATTAATATTTTAACATCACATTTAAAAAGCTATATTTTCTGTAATTATTCGTATAAAAATAAATTGGTTACCTTCTAAGAATATAATTTATTCAAATGCGTTTATATAGAGAATTAGTTATTTGAAATAAGCTGTTTGAACAGATCAATATGATATTATTGAATTTTTCCGATGTAAAACTCTTTGATATCAGAACTGGTTATGCATTTAGTGTATGCCTTGCTCATGTTTTCTATAATTTCATTATATATAACCTATAGTTACTCTTAGTTATGCTAAACTTCACTGTATATCAATAACAGTTTACTTAAAATTTATTGGATTTTAAATAAAATATTTCCAATGATCTACAACCTTAATTGTTACTACTTGTTCAGACTTTAAGGATCAGTTAAAAATTCAGAAATCCATCCTTAAATATTTTCTCTGATAAGCTTTTAATACAATTCTGCTTAATATTCTTGAGTTTTATTTGAGTATCTAACAATTTCTGGATTTGTTGTTATTGATCTGCTAATATTCAAATACCTTACCATAGCTTCTGTGTCTTGTTACTAATTAATTATTAATATTTTTTAAATTTTCTACAAAATATATTCATATTTAAATGGAATAAATAAATTAAATAAATACTTACATAATTTTGCAAGGGATTAGCACACCCTATTAAATATGTTTAGGAATTTCCTCCTATGCACTCCCTTAAATACTCAATTAACTTATTATCTTTCAATGGAATTGAATTAGATTTTCTAGTTTTTAAGTTAATTTCGCTTATTACCCTTAAGCAGTTATTGAGAGGAGCTAAAACTGATTTATGAGAGCCTTCCTCTGATTTAAAAATTATAATTTGATATTTATAATAAAACATCCAAAATATTATTTTACTTATTGCATCAGCGAAGGTTTCTTTCTCAAATTTTACAAATTTAAGTGATGAAATAATTTTCTTTTTATCAATATCTTTTTGATCTTCTTATATACATTTAATCTCAAAGATAATATTATTATTTTTCAATAAATCTTTAGCTTTATCAGTACTTTATTCATATTTTTACAAGTTCAGCTAAGCTATTCTTAATTAATAATTAAAGAATTTAATAATTCATCATTAATTAAATATAAAATTAAAAATGTAGTATTTATCGTTCAAAAAGCTTTTTTTTTCATTGGTTGAAAATAAAAGTGTTATTCATTCATTTTTTATGAAAACAGCATTTTAATTAAAAAATTAATTTTAAATTACTTAATTATTCTCAATCCTTGAAGAAGCGTTTTGATTTCGACCTCATACAAGCCTGCTATATATAACTATTTTTAAGAATCTTCATGTATATCCAGTGGATATCCATGGCCGATAATGCAATCATAAAACTTATCATTTTAGTAACTACAAATGCTTATTTTAATTTGTGTTTTTATTCCTTTCTCTTCAAACTCGTTTCTATGGTATAAAGTCTCTTTTAGAAGCAGTATGATTAACCCTGGATCTCTTAAATTTCCAATTGCCCTTTGAAATAAAAAGAGGTAAATATAAAATTCTTACTTCTTTTTACTTATTCATTCATTAAAATATATTAAGATATATTCATTTTAATTAGCAAAAAGAAAGAAAGAAATCAAGTAGCATCACTTAATGTTACATTTTACTAAAATTTTACAATATTTGTTTGAATTTTAAGATTTAACATACTTTGTTGAACTTCTACTAATCAATAAATACGTTTTTTCATTAACAAAAATAAAAATCTTACAGATGCGTTTTGCCTGAATCTCCTCCACCATATAGTATGATAGATTAATTATATCCACTAAAGAGATTTATGACAGGTTGTTGGAGGAACTTTACAGCCATAATCTCACTATTTTCATTTTCTCCAAAAACCCAATCGAAAGTTTGTATTTTATCTTTCTGTAGATTATTAATATCTCTTGAAGCCTAAGGTAAAAGTTACAAATTATATGAGTTAGATTTAAGGTTTTTATATAATTCTAAATTTAATACATGTGTTTGTCCATTAATTTTAGTTTTATCTGGTTTGTTTCTTAGGAGTATAGTTTTAGGGTCTAGATTTTCTATAGATAAATAGGAGCTTTTTAGTTTCATTTCATATGGAACCATTTTTATTTTGATTGCAATTTTATAATTTGCAGAGCCTTAATAGTATTTTTTAATCGAAATTTGTGTTTTATCTTATATTGAGGCATCTTCTTAATCTTAATCTGTCATTTTTCTCATCTTAATTTCTCTCTTACTTGAGTAAGAACTCCCGTATCTACTCATTTTATCTGAACTCGTGTTTAAAACAGATTCTCTATCTTTAAATCATAATTTTTATGTCAAAATAAAATCTATTGTAGAAAAAATATTTACCCAAACTATTTCTAAGAGAGCCTTTCTAATGCTAAAGTGTTAGTTTCTTAGCTAAATATTTTTCGTGAGTAAATATTAAGTTGGAATTGAAATATTATTTTACTCAAGCTTCTTTGAAAAGGAGTTGACTACTCTCTTTTTAGGATAAAAGGAGATTCATCATGGTGTGATCCCCTTTTAGATACTAAAATAAAAGGATTATAAAAAAAATCAGCTAGGTAGCTTGTAATTAATTGTACGTTCTAATTAGGAATCTTATTAAATCAGTTTCTACGACATCTCGTTCAGAAATCTGTTTAAACTATGTTAAATAAATTAGCTATTTTATTTATATATATTATTAATTGTTAAAATTGATAGCTGTTTTTAATAAATAACAAAGCAAATAAGATCAACCAGAAATAAATATTAAATATAATAACATAAATTTCAATTGCTATGTATAGTTAAATAAATTACACAAAATTCTTGCAAAACTTAATTATTTCAAATTAATACAATAATTTATTTATTTATTACTGATTTCCATCATATTTTCATAAAATGTTTAATTTTGATTCAGCACATGCATTTAAAATATCAATTTGAGTTTTATCCAGCAAAAGGTAATTTGTAAAACTTATTGCTTATATTTTTAATGGCTGATAGAATAAATATTCAACCTTCAATAAATAAATGATGTTTTTCAACGAATATTTAAAGCTAGCTAAAAATTAGTTAGTGCTGGTAAAAGATTTCAACAAAAATATTAAACAATTATCAAATAAATTAAAAGTTTTCAAAAATAATTAAATTTAAGAAAGAAATCGTTTAATTTTTGGCTACTAAAAAAAATTTGCTTTGAAATTAATTATTACACTGCCCTATCTATATACAAATAATTGTTTGTGATTTATTTGTATATTTACTAATTAGGTTTATAAATTCTATTTCTACAATCTAAGACTAAAAGAAAGACAAATGAATTCAAATCTTACAATTACTAATGGGTAAATTTGCTCCCCTAATCTCACAGGCAACGAACTTATATTCATTAAAAGACCAATAATTATCAAAAAGCCTACCAATACCAATAATAATTATAACAATATTTAATGTTAAACTAACACTAATGCTAATAATGCTATTCAAAATAGGAGCATGATAAACACTTCAAATATTGAACAAAACTATGGATAATCTGCACAAGATAATTTACTAACACCTTAATAAAAACAAGCAAATTAATTTTTAACTGATTAAAATAAATCGAAGCACGCTAAATACCCAAGAGAGTCTAGTCTTCATTCTTCAGGCTAATAGCGAAAGTCATTTGTTATGGTAACTGAAAAAATTTCAGTAAATTAATACAAATTTTCATAGATAGTTTTTATTCAATTTTGAAATAAATAATTAACAGGGAGTAGAAAATAAAGAAATGCTGAATGGAGAATCTCAACTGTAATATTCTCAGGTCTATAATGTTCAAGCTCATAAAAATATTTAGAAATAGATCATTTCTCAAAGATATTTAATTAATAATGTTACGCTCAGCAATAATGTTTTGGACGCTAATTTATTAATCAAGCGACCTCCTTCTGCGAGTTTAAATTAAAAAAATAAACACTAAATTACTGTGTTTTAATAGCAGCAGCTATCGTTTTTAAGCAGCTAACAGTAGAATTTATCTAATGGACTTAATAAAAAACTAACTATAAACAATATTTAATCAGCATCAGGGCATTAAAGTTAGAATTAAAAGGGGAATTAAATATCATACAAGTAAAAATAAAAAATTAGTAATTTCTTATTAATACTGTTGTTTCTTTTTAATAAAAAAATATTTACAGATTTAACAAATTTTTAACACTAAAATTATGTTTTTACAAAAAAGCTAACGACAACTTTAGAAAAGATAAAAATGAAAATAATTTTAACAAAAAAGAAGATATCCCATCATATTTTATGGATAACTATAATGATGTTAGGCAAGTAGTGTTTTACAAAGACAACAACCCAAGCTACACTTAGAGGCTATTGAAAGAAAAGAACGAATAACAGATAGTAGTAAGTTCAAAAACACAAGATGCATATTAGAGTTCAAGAAATTAAAATAAATATCTCAGCAATTCGACTCTTAGAAAAAAAGACCCTAACCTTCTTAGGGAATCTGATGAATTCTAAATGTAAAAAAATTTCCAAGTAAATTATTAGTCAATTGAAAAACCTTCGATTCTGAACAAAACGCAATTAACAAATTCTTATTTCATTGATTCATCAGTTATTAAATCACCTTTAATGAGTTCATAGAAGAGTAAACAAAACTTAACTACCAGTTCAAAACAAATTAAAACATATTAACTTGACAAGCTAATGACTAATACAAATCATAAAAACTAATTCTAACAAAATAGCTTATCTCCTTATCTCTAACCTAATAATATTGTCAAGAATTACGAGACTAACCAAAAGAATTCTAATTCAAATTCTCCTAAAAATTCTAACCGTCTGAGGTATTTAGATGATTCTAATGTCCATGATGAAAGAGACGATTAGAGTTTGTAATTATAAAATTCCTACATAGAAATATTCTCCAGTGATCTTTCCAAATTTAAACAAATTGCTACTAAATTAGAACAGTCTTAGCACCCAATAAACGAATAAGAGCACTAAGAAAAATCAAGAAATTCATCAGATTCTCTTGATTCTTCAAGAAAAAATCAATAGAGAAAGCATGCTTTAGCGGTAAGCAACATGCAAATGAATAATGAATAGAAAAAAAATTAATCAGCTTAAAATTAGAAGTAAAAATAATCTAAACAAAATAAAATTCATGAATTTTAAAAAGAAGCTAAAATTGTAATATAAGAACCACCTAATAAAGTTTTAAGTTAAAATTAAGAGCACAGAATCTCACAGTTAAGACATAAGCTGCTTGAAGCTAATGAAAAAGCATTGGCTAGAAAAATATTAGTAAAAAAAAGGTCAATTGCCAAACAAAAATCGACAAATCTATGCTCAGTAGATGACAAAAACTGCTCTGATTAAGAAGAGAATTAGCAAAAACTTGAATGTGAATAACCTAAAAAAACTACAAAAAGTATAAATAAATAAAATAGAATCACTAAAAAAGGTTCTTTAAAGAAATAAGACTCAAATATTATCAGCAGCACATCTTAAGTAGAGTTATCTCATGTAAAATCTTTAAAAGTAGACAATGAAATTGAAGCTCCTCAGCAAAAGAGGAAATTTTCTGAAAATAGAGGAACCTCGTAAAAAAGACCCCCACTACCTCTATCAACAAATACAAAAAAACAAAAAGAAGGATTTGAAGAAGAAGATGACGATTTTCCCTCTTTATCAAATCTCTCTGAAATAGAAAATTAATACGACAATTTAGAATTTGAAGATTAAGAAGAAGATGAAAACCAAAACGACTAAGATTAAAATCAAGAAAAGACCATTTCAAATTCAATGCATTCTTCAAATAAAGATTAGGTTGGTTCTGCTACTGAATTAGCAGCTAAAAAACAAATTATAATAAACAAACCTTTGCCTGTTGTCACCTTATTAAAATCAGTTTACGAAGGAAGGTATTATTTAATTTACATGAATTTATCAAATTTCAAAACAATATTTTTTTATAGACCAAGCACTATTTTTTTCGAATATCCTGATTGCTGCTTTAAGAAAAGAGAATAAGGTAATCGTACGTATATTGCAAATCCGAAAGAAGTAAAGAAATGGAATTTGACATATAGAATGAATGACTGTAATCGTCCATACTAATGTGTAACAAAGAGTTTTGAAGCAGGAGGATTTGTAGAAACATTATCAAATACATAATGGAATGGGTATTGGGCAAGCAACAGAATCAGCTTCATTAAAAAACTAAATAGCTTTTAGAAAACGAATCACTTTGCAGGATGCTGGAATTTAGGAAGAAAAGATTAGCTTTGGATGAGAGTTTCAAAATAAAAGAGAAAATTCAATGAGGACTATGATTTTATACCAAGGACTATGCTGCTTGGTTAGGAGTGGGATAGATTTAACACGCTTTTAGAAGATAATCCTGAAACTCTATGGATAGTCAAGCCAGTAGCTTCTTGTTGTGGCAAAGGAGTGCATGTTGTTCAAAAAAAATGCAATATTGCCAAGAGAAAACGTAAACACTATTTAGCTAGTGAATATATTTCAAATCCTCATTTGATAAATGATACTAAATATGATTTAAGAATATATGTCTTGGTGACTTCTTATGATCCGCTTCGTATTTATATGTTTGAAGATGGTTTAGTGAGATTTGCCACAGAAAAATATAATTTAACTTAGAATGGACATTAAAGATAAAGATTTATGCATTTAACTAATTATAGTGTGAATAAAAAGAGCGAAAATTTTGTTAAAAATAATGATGTGAACGACTCTGGTTAGGGTTCTAAATGGTCTCTAAAATCTTGGAAGGAATATCTTATTTAAACAATAGGATTAGAAGCTAAAGAGTAGTTGCTAAAAAAAATGGAAGATGTAATAATTAAAACATGTATCGCAGTAGAACCTTATATGAATGATAGTTCGAGCAAGACAGCTTAACACAGAAATAATTGCTTCGAATTATATGGTTTTGACATTTTAATAGACAATACTCTAAAGCCTTGGCTTTTGGAAGTTAATGTATGTCCATCACTTAGTAGTTCCTCACCATTAGATAGAAAAATTAAGACAAGTCTTATAAGCGATATTTTCAATACATTAGGCTTTATACCTTATGATAAAAAGAAGCTCTCTCAGGAAAAAAAATTTAGCAACAGAAATTAAAAAAAAAAGAAAACGAGATATTCTGTAAATATGAATAAAGTAATAAAAGAAGAATAAGAATAGGATAATGTCAACGAGTTATTGTCGCCAAGAATTTTATCTAATTTAAATACTACTAACACAAACATTTAATAAAATGTTTAAAATAGTCTGACTATTTCTACCTCTGCAGTCAGCAATCAGACAACAATAACAAGCGGGTTTAATTTTAACGCATCTGCATCATAAACAAACATTAATATTGAAGATAAAAAGAACTTCTCTAAAAATATAAAAGACATTGTTGATTTGAATGAAAACAATTGTTTCTAAAAGTTATCTTATGATGACTGGGAAATTCTTTTTGAAAGTGATGAAGAAAAGTACAGGTGTGGCGAATTTAAAAGAATATTTCCTTCAAGTGATCTTAATTTGGTTGATTACTATAGCTAATTTTTTTTATTCCCTAGATATAATAATATTATGCTTTGGAATTATCTCAAATGCAGTATCAACATGCTGGAATATGTATGTCCAAAATCTACTACTATAAAGTGTTGAAATATAATTTATTATATACTTTCAAAAGCTAGAAAAAAAGAGATTATCATATATAAAAATACTTATATTTATTTAGAGTCTTTGGTTAAATTTATGAGTAAATTCAAAATTTATATATATTTATTTTATATTAATTTACAATAAAAAAAGAATTTAAGATTTAAAAATTATTTAAAACTATTATTACAAACTTTTATCTATTTTGATTATTTAAAAAAAATTAAAAACTAATATTTAAACAAAATTTATACCAAAATAAGCAATGAAAATTTAAAAAAGATTTTTCTTCAACTTAAAATAATTCAAATACATAATAAAATAAGCATTTCTTTTAATCTTAACTTTTTTTTTGAATTAAATACCTTAAACATTATAACTTGTAAATTATAGAAAATATAATAAAAAATTCAGTGGTTTTAAAGTTAATTGTAATTAAAAAAATAATTTTTTTAAAATAAAATAATCTATGAATATGAAAAATTACTGAGATAGTAAATTAGTATTGAAATATAGAATATTAAATTTTATACTGATACAACCACTATCAATCAGACTTGATAACTTATCATAACTATTCTACTAAATAAATTATATTCATTCGTAAAAATCATAAAGAACTATGGCTGGATTTAGAGGTATATACTCCTTTTAATATTTATCATATATTATTTTTCTGAAAATTATTTATTTTATATGAGTTTAAATAAAATCTTTTTATAATTTGTAAAACCTATTTAAATGCATAATCATATCTTAATTTACGCTATTGGAGAAGATTATTTCAATGAAAGCATTATTATTAACTAAAATTTTAGAAAATTATAAGAAATCTTGAAAACTCATTTAATAATTAAATTTAATCTGTTAGATATTACAATTAATTGAATTAGCTTCTATAACTTCTTCGAATTCAGAAATATCTATTCTACTTAAAAATTAAACTTTCTAATACTTTGTTGAATCTATAAATTGTCTATAACTCTCTTAATAATATCCAGGTCTAATAATTTGCACATTACTGAAACAAGATAAAATAAGTTTTAGAGATATTGCTCCTTCATTTTTGGCCTTGATAAATCTCAAGTATTTAAATTTGTCTTTATTTTCTGTTAAAAGATAGGAATCATTTATTTCATTTAATTCAAAATATTCTGGTCCATTGAAGATTGGAACTACAATATACTTTAAAAACAATTTTATCTAAAGAAACAAGTCTATCACAATTAGTAATAAGTAGATCCAAAGATAATTACTAAACCCAAAAATATTTTTATAAGGTTATAAAGCTAAGAGATTAAAATAAATATATATTTTTTAAATAAGATGAACAACTATTATTAGATTGCTATAATTAATTTAAGTTTATTCTTTCTATTTATATAATTCATCACTGATTTCTCTTTGGTCTATTGATATATGACTTATTACTATTAAAGTAATACATATATAGTATTCTCTTATAATTCTACTGTAATTTTCTATTTTATTAAGGTATTTAATTTGAGCTATTATAACTTAAAGCATGCTAAAAACTAAATAATAAATAAAAATATTTTAAATTTCAGAGATTTTAATACAGCAGATTATTATGAATAATAATCTAAACCAGTTTTAAAAGTAGTAATTAGCCATTTTATCTCTAAACAAATAATCTTAAAAAACTCCTGGTTCAATGTACAAATTGTAAAGATCAGTCGTTTAAATTTCACATGTTGTCAAAATACTAAAAAACAGAGGAAGAAGTATCTATAAAATTGTTTATAAATTTTATATATCAGGTAAATTAAGAACTAGGCTTATCTAAATCATAAGCATAAAGTAATTAATTATTGATTTTATATGAATAAGATCTTTGTGACTTATATTACCATAAATTAAATATCTTTTATTAATATTAAATATTGGCTCTTCTAATGAAAATATCAAACATAAAATAACTTTAGAACGATCGTTTTGCTTATATTTATTTACATTAAGTGAAAATATTATAATTGCTTTTCTTAAGAGGTAGACAATTAAAAAGCACATAATTGGCTTAAATTAGCTTTCATTTAAGATTGACTTTTTATGAAAATTTATTTAATTATTCATATTTAATAATTTTAAAAATATTTACATACTTCTATTATATTATATAAATTCCATTGTTAAAGCATAGAACTTATTTTTAAGCTATAGTAAAATATCTTTTCCCTAAATGCTTTTGATCTTTGATAATCCATGTTTTTCATCGAATTAAATCTTTATATTATTCTGATATTATTTAAAAAAGTTAGTAATTATTCTTATTTTAATCAAAATTTTATTTTCTACTAATTATTCAAAATAATTAAATTATTAACAATATATTTCTGATAACTTATGATTGCTTAGAAATTTAAATCAATTATCTAAAAATATGCATGCCCATATGTATTTTAATTTTAAAAGTTTTTTATTTAGGTTGTAATGTATTAAATTAATAAAATATTTTTCTTTAATATGTTTTTTATCAATAGAAATACTGAAAGTAAGTTCTCATCAATTAAGTAAGTTTAATTTTATCTAAAAATAATTTTTATTATATGTAAGATCGCCGATACCATATTTTTGAGAGTTTCTGATGATTACTTAAAAAAAAAATTCTACATACTAACTATTTATTTTAATAAAATATTATTTAACCTATCTAAAATTAAAAAGTCATTTTACTCTATATTTTCTATTTTGTTTTTAATATTACACTATGTTTTTTGTCAAAATTATGATAAGTTAAAACCATAAAGTAGTTGATTACTACTATTATTTATAGAAGACCTTTGTAGGTTAAATTATAATGAATAGAAGATTGATTTTTATGTGAATATTAATTTTTTAAAGATATTTTAAATAAAGTACATGAAAAATTATTTTTTGTAATTAGAATTCTTATATTTTAAGTTGTCAAAAATTTTATTTAAAAGAAGTTCTTAATAAAATGAATTTTAATAAGAATAAAATTTTTTTTCAGTCATACAAATCATAAATTACAAATTTAGGATTAACTAATAAAAATGGACAGATATTGCTATAAAATGCTTTTATAAAATAAATAATTCTTAAAAACTAGATTTTATAAAACTTGTTAATTTTGTAAATTTATTATTGTAAGTTTTAGTTTAGAAAGTCGCTTTAGTAATGTATTTAAATAATTATATTTTAATTTAAAAATATTTTGATTATTTATATAACTATTTTAAAATCAATTCTATTGAGCATGTCTATTTATTCAATAAAAATATTGAGATCTTCAGATTCAGCTAATTATTGAAAATGAGAAATATCAAAATTTCTATTCAGATATACTTTCTAAGATTTTTAATTCTTTTAAATGAAAATTCTTTCTTCAAAATTGATAAAATTTTGAAGAATCTGTGATTATTAAAATAAACAAAGTAAAATAATTATATTGATAGGTGTTAACTTATAGTTTCCAATATATTTTAAATTCTTTAAATTTCTTTAGTTTTCTATCAAATATTCTTCTTCTTAGTTATTTGTTATTAGATAATACTCAGGACCATGGAAATATGTTTATAATATAAATCGATTGAATATGTTTATTTAAAATGAAATATCTATTAAAAAAACTACCAGAAAAATAGCTTAATAAAATTCTAATTGATTTTAATTTAAAATTATCATTAAAAAAACTATGAAAACATATGCTTTTAGGATAGTTTGAGCTATTATTTACCAATCATAAAATGAGAAATCTTTATTTAGGTTCTTCTAATAAAATTTATAAGTATATCCTATTCTTAAATCGAAGTTTATATTAGATGCTAAGTTTAAAAAAATAAAAAAAGCACTGTCCAAATCACTGTTTTATGAATTCGATTACCAAATTTTGTATTTTAAGATCAATAAAAAAATAAATAGCTAAATCAAGTAGCCAGAGAGAAAATAACTTTTTTATAAGCAAATCATATAAGAAATCAAGTGAATATTTAATCTTAGCCAATGAATCAATATCTATTAAATATCTTTGCTTCTGAATTAAAAGTAATCAAACTATTCAAAAAGTTTAAATTAGTAGCTTTTTTGATTTTCTGTATAAATTTAAATTTTAATCATTTAAAAAGTAGCAAGTAAAGATGGTATGCAATTCTATAATATTATTTATTAATATTGGTTAGTACTATTCATTGTTAAAAATATAATTTAGTTAAAATAGATTAGCCAATTCAGAAATACTTTAGCATTAATTGCTTATATAAAGTAAGATTTTAAAAATTAAAATTATGAGCTTTGAGCTAAGGAAAACATAAATTCTTCAAAGGAAAGAAGAAGACTAACAATTAGAATGACCCTATGCTTTATATTTATCATTTATAAATCATTCCAACATAAAACCAAAATAAGAAATTTTCTGCCTGAGTAAAGAAAGATTAAAGTTAACAGCTTTTAATTAAAACCAATTTCGCCCATCTTCATTTTTATAAAATAATAATTATTTATATTCATTCAAAAGAAATAATACATTTAGCAAGCTGTAAGTGCTCCAAAAGATAAAAATAGTTTATAACTTAGCTAAGACATATATAAATATAAGCATTAATTATAGCTTTATTAACACTTTAGAGGTATCTTAAAAAATGACTTTTGTTTTCTTATCTTATAATTAATTATCTTTCTGAAATCAAGACAGACTAAATTTTTCTACAAATAACTTTTATACTTTTTGACCCAAAAATTATTCAAATTTATAATAATATTATCTAAAAATAATTAAAAATAAATAATAGTGGAATATTATTATTTATAAAATCAATTTAGTAAAAAAGGTTATCGACACTGGGACTTCCCAAGCGGTCCCCCACCTTAGTACTAACCCAGCCTTAAGGCGCTTAACTTCGGAGTTCGAATGGGATCCGGTGTTTTCACCTTAGTATGGCCGATAACAAAATGTATTGATATAAATTTGGATATATATATCAGCCTTTGTCTTAAATAAAATCATAATTAAAAAAATGAAGAAAAAAAATAGATTTTTTTTTTTGTTTTAAAAATAATTAAAATAAAAAGGTTATCGACACTGGGACTTCCCAAGCGGTCCCCCACCTTAGTACTAACCCAGCCTTAAGGCGCTTAACTTCGGAGTTCGAATGGGATCCGGTGTTTTCACCTTAGTATGGCCGATAACAAAATGTATTTATATAAATTTGGATATATATATAAGTAGTCTTTTGTCTAGAAAAACATGATAATTAAATAAAATGAAGAAAAAAAAGATTTATTTATTATTTTTGTTTTCTTACTAAAAAAATAACTAAAGTAAAAAGGTTATCGACACTGGGACTTCCCAAGCGGTCCCCCACCTTAGTACTAACCCAGCCTTAAGGCGCTTAACTTCGGAGTTCGAATGGGATCCGGTGTTTTCACCTTAGTATGGCCGATAAAAAAATGTATTAAGATAAATTAAGATATATTTGCATCATTCTTTTGTCTTGAATAAAATGATAATAAAATATAATGAAATAAATAGATTTATTTATTTATTATTTTTGTTTTCTTGCTAAAAAAATAACTAAAGTAAAAAGGTTATCGACACTGGGACTTCCCAAGCGGTCCCCCACCTTAGTACTAACCCAGCCTTAAGGCGCTTAACTTCGGAGTTCGAATGGGATCCGGTGTTTTCACCTTAGTATGGCCGATAACAAAATATACTAAATTAATTTGTTAAAATATGTATGAAGTCTTTAGTTTTGAATAAAATGATAATTAAATGAAAATAAATAAAATAATAGATTTTTTTTTAATTGCTATGTTTCTAAAAAATAATTAAAGTAAAAAGGTTATCGACACTGGGACTTCCCAAGCGGTCCCCCACCTTAGTACTAACCCAGCCTTAAGGCGCTTAACTTCGGAGTTCGAATGGGATCCGGTGTTTTCACCTTAGTATGGCCGATAACAAAATTAATAAATATGTATGTCTATTTATATTCCCCCTTTTTAAAATAATTTTTTAGAATTTAATGAGTTCAGATTGATATACATGACTTATATCATCAGTTGAAAAAAAAGATTTTCATCTTATATAAATTGCTAAATATGAATTGATTTTATAGATATATTAAATTTGAATTTGAAAATTATATTTAATATAAAATGTATTACTTTGTCATCAAAAACAGAAAAATTATAATTTATTTAGATATTTAAATATAATTTAAGTAAAAAGTAAATCAAAATTTTAATGTTAATAAACACAATAGTTAGTAAAAACATAATATTTAAAAGTCTAAGAAATTTTAGTTTTTTATTGTTAAAAGTAATAAATTTCATTTTTTTTAGATAAAATACTGCATTTCTAAAGTTGTAAGTGTCTACAATTTTAATATTTAATTTGCTTTTTATATTATTTACTTTTTCTGTTTATAGTCATCAAAAAATATTTCTGAAGTTGTTTAATAGCCTTAGTGTTATTATAAATATCCAGAATAATCTCTCAAAATTTAACACATTATCATAATATAAGGATTTTCTTTTATCTTATTTTGTACTCTTTAAGAGAGTTACTTTTCAAACTCTCCAAAGCCTTTCACTAACTTTTTAGTTTTTAATATATTTTGTAGTTTTTTTATTTATTTTTATATATATCTGCTAATAGATTGTTGCTTATGGGCTAGACTTGAAGGTACAGATATCACTGTAGATAAAACCTATCTTCTCTCTAAATTAATATCCTTTTGAGATTGAATGAGCAAAGGAATCCTGTTTTACAGATAAAATATCTCACTTTCTCTTCTATTGAATTCTATATTCTATCGATAGAGCAATTTCAAGTTAAAATTTTACTTCCCATTATAAAAACTAATATTATCTTCAATATCACTTAGAGACTAGTTAACTTTAAGAGAAAATAAAAAAGAGAGTTCTCTAACATGTTTAAGCTGTACGTTACAAATCAAAAGAATATTTTGTAAAGAATAAAATGAATCAATTTCTTGCTAATCTAAAACGCTAGTGATAACAATCAGAAACGTTTTCTTTTTGTCTTTGAAAACTTCATTTTTAAAATAAATATAGGAGGGAGAAAAATCACACAAAATGATTTCATTTACCATAATTTAATCTTTTGTTTAGATAAATTAATTCTGAATCAAATTTCTATCTGATAATTCTAAAACATAGCTATCATTAAATGCTTGAAAATCATAAAAAGAGCTTTTGATATTCACAAAATTCAGGTAAAATTTATCGCTTATAAACAAATCAATGCTCGATTTTAAGTAATTTTGATAAATAATTTCAATTATTTCAGAGAAATTTACAAGTTAATTGAGGCCTTAGTCAACTAATTTAATTTTTAGCTCTTTCATTTACTCGTAAATTAATTCCTCTCCTTCTTTAATAAAATTTATTTTCTCTTAGACAGAAAAGGAGTCTCCTATTAAGCTAAAATCTCTAATAATTCTACACAAAAGGAATGCCTCAAATGTGTTATAATATTAAAATTTGGATTATACAACAGAATTCCTAATGTACGATTTAAAAAATCCAACTCTTACATCTAAGAGATCGATGATTTTTTAAACATCATTCGTAAGTAAAGAATTCTCCCCAATAAATTAGATGAAAGAATCGTTATGATTATTAATTAATTTAATTAAAATAGAAATGACTGGATCTATATAACAAGCTATTTCTGAATTAGATATGTCTCTTATTAAAAATCTATTATTTTCCTTATAGAGAACACTCATTTTTATACAAAATTAAGTAGACTTATTAATAGATAATTAAAACAAGCACACTTAATTTGATTAGAGTTATTATTTTATATCAATAAAAGTAAATAAGCAAAAGAAAGATATTTATTTTCTTTATAAATTTGCTTAAATAATTCTAATAAATAAATTGGTGTTAAATAAAATTCATGAATGAATAAAATAAAGTTCTTAAAAGAAGTATAAATTTGGTTTGTGAATATGTTTAACAAATAACTTATATTTTAATACTATAATATTTACTTATTTATTTTTGTATATTTTCATTCAAGCTAAACAATAGCTTGTCTCAAACAAAACTTCTTCTCCTTCTTAGATCTAATAGCTTAGTATTGTCTAAAAGAATTTATTAGTTTATATCAGTTAATAAAAGTAATGAATCAATGAATAAAAGTTTTTAAGAAAAGTATAAATTAGGTTTATAAATCAATTCAATATAATAAATTAACAAATAACTTAAAAAGATATTCATATTTTATTATTAACACTTAAATATTTATTTATTTATCTTTTGAATTTTTTCATTCTAGCTAAACAAAAGGTTATCCCATAGGACCATTTTCTCCTTTTTAGATCTATTAGGTTATGATTACCTTAAGCTTTAAAGAATTTATTAGTTTATAGCAATAAAATAAATAATCAAAAGAAAGATATTTGATTTCCTTAAAAATTTGCTTTACAATTCTAATAAATAAATTTAAAAAAATAAAATTAATTTGGTTTATGAATCAATTAATATAATAGGTTTATTTATCAAATAACCTATTAAAATATTAAATTTTTATTCATACAATATATAGTTTTTATTTTAATGATATTTTTTTGTATTTTTTCATTCAAGCTAAACAATTAGTTATCCTAAAAGAACTTTTTCTCCTTTTTTGATCTAATAAACAAACAAAAGAAAGATATTTATTAAATTTCCTTAAAAATTTGTTTAAATAATTCAAATTATATTATTTAAGTTAATGAATGAATTAAAGTTATAAAGAAAGGTATAGTTTTAATTTGTGAATTAGTTTAATATAATAAGTTTAACAAATAACTAATAAAAATATTTTATTTAATTTTATTAAAACTATTGTATTTATTTTAATCATATTGTTTTGTATTTTTTCATTCAAGCTAAACAATAGGTTATCCCATACGAACTTTTTATCCTTTTTAGATCAATAGCTTAGGATTACCTTAAGCTTCAAAGAATATAACAACTGTTGAACCCATATTAAATTAACCTATTTCTTCTCCTTTTGGTACTTTAAATCCGTTTTGTAAACGCTCATATCTTTTATCACAGGCTTATTTTTCATTTTCAAGAATCTCTTAATTACAATTTTCTATATTGTAATGTTTGGTGAGCTTTTGTTCAAATTTGTTGTCAAGAGGTTAGTTAGTTTTAACATCCTATTTAATATAAAGAAATTAATATAAATATCATTTTTATTTACAAATGTATTTTAAAGTTTACTTAATCAAAATTAACAGTCATAGAACCGACATTAGTAGCACCAACAAAAACCATTGAAAAGAAACCTTGATTGTACTCTCCAAATAATGCAACCCTCTCATTGTTTTCGTAGACACCCTTTAATTAAAATATAAAATAGTTAATTAAATAGTTAATGATTGGTTCAAAATTAATCTTGATTTATTTTGATAGAAAATTGATTTTTTATTTTAGATATAAAAGTAATTAATAAATTTATAAATATGAATGAATGATTAAATTAAATTAATAATTTCATTTAATAAAATCCTATCAAAAAAATAATTTATTTTTAACCATCAAAACACATTTTAGAAATTTTAAAATAATTTTATCAATCATTTCAAGCAAAAAAATAATACTTGCTAGGAAAAATAGACAAATTTATTTAAGTAAATTGGATTTAAATTCTTAAATTGATTATGATTGATTGATTGATTACCTCATGTTTTGAAATGTAGGATACTTTAACTGGAGCTAAATATCCAACAATGTGGTTTCTTTTTGTAAAGGTAATGTCAGCGCAGGAGTGATATCTATGGTAGTCACCTGGATTTAAATAGAAAATTGCTTAATAAATTTTAGATTAACTCTTGTTTGGATTTATTTTCATGGATTAAAAGGCCTCGTCTTGGAGCTTGTAATTTTTAACTCCTGTCAAAAATTCTCCTAGCTTGTAATTAATTCCTTTTACTAGAAGATTTTCGTCTCCTTGAATTTCAGAAATATTCAAACATAGAGAGTCAGCTGGACTAACTATAATTTTAGGATTTGGATCTATGTTTCTTTGCTTGATTTGACGTGTGAAAAATTCATTAAAAGTCTTAAAATCAGCTAGTTCCTTGACTATGTCTTCTTCAATTACATTGTAAAGTCTGGAAAATGATTTATAAATTGGAGTCCTTTTAAAAGATAAAAATGGATGGTTAAAATACTAAAAGATGTAAATAAAATATTATTTTAATTATTTTGAATGAAGTAAATACCTCAAAAAGTATGGAATTTTAATTTTAGTAACTATTCCTGTTAAGTTACTCACTTATCTGCCTACAGAGAGCTGTAATTTAAAAAATATTATTAAAAAAATTGATTGCGTATTATTTATAAAAATTTAATTATAATTTATGCAGTTTCAATCAATCATTCATCCATCATAAAATAAATCAGATTGAAATATTAATTTGATAGAAAAATTATTTAATTAATTTATATTCTAAAGCCAACTAAATTTAAAAATCACTTCTTTCTCCAATTCAATTGAATCAATTGGAACAAAAAAATTATTGTGCATTTATTTTTTCCTATCCAAAGATCTTCATTATTTTAATAAGTTCAATTTATTTCATAAATGAAAGTTGTTAGGATTTAGAATTATATGATAATATTTTGATTAAATATTTATTCATTAATTAATTGTTATATATAGAATATTAATCATTCTTTAGATTGCTTCCACATAGTTAGCAATACATTCTTTTCAATATTAAATCATCGAAGTCTTCTAATAGCCAAATAATTAAATTATCATATCAAATATTGGCTTGCTTAACTTTTCTCATTTTACAAATTTCAAACACAACTTTTAGCTTGTACTTTAACAATAACTCTAAATCTTGATATGGTTCTTCTTTAAATATACCAAAGTGTTAATCACACATTTCAATTTCTTTTCTAATTATATTTCTCCCAATTCTCAATTTTCATATTTGTTTTCAATCTTAATTTGTTTTTAATCTAAAATTCAGTGATTTTTAAATGCATTTATATTAACAATTGTTTGCTGGTCTTACACAAGTATTAAATACAAAATTCATAAATAAATCTATTTCAAAATATATCTTTCTTTTTTTACCTTAATTGACAGATTTTTCTTGAGAGACATTAAGAAATATAGAGACAAACCTGCGATGGGTACTATAGAAATAAGTATATAACCAACCATTTATTGCATATCAGTGGAGCCATCTTATTTTAGACAAGCAAAATCTTACTTAGCTTCTATTAATTTTTTTTATATAATTTTATTATTTATTATATTTATCTAGTCTATAATATATATACCTTATTAGTTAAAAAATCCGAAATTCAAAGAGAAGTTATTGAATATTTGAGAGATGAATGAAGATTATCCAGGATCTCTGTTTCCATCAAAAAATTAGCTTAAGATATTTTCTTCTTCAGGAATGATTCCGACTTCGTTTTTTTTGTTTGATTTTAAAGGTGAACCCACTGTTGTAGCCTCACAAACAACTTTATTTAAGTAAAAATATATTAATTTATTAACATAAATATAAAATTATTTAATGTTCAATAAATTGTATGAAAAAATGATTTATTTATAGCCAAGGTTACCTTGCATAGCAATGCACAATATAGGTAATAAGTAAACCCAAAACATATTTTTTTGAAATTATGAAATTCAGTTGAAAATTCAGATTATTTTAAGATATAAAATATAATAATATAAATAAAGAGATGAGTTAAGTGGTATTTAATGGTACTATCTATTAGCTTAATATTATTATAATTATGTTTAAGCTTAATTTAAATTAGATTAGATTATGTGACAGAACAGCACTTAATCAAATAATCTTTCTTTTTTTCTATTTAAATTCATAGTCCGTAATAAAAGTTGTCTAATTAATACTTTTAATTGAAATTTTCTTACATTTGATCTTTAATTGTAAAAAATTTACTAATTTACTTATTTATTACAATTCAATAACCACTTTTTTAATTGAGGCCCACAAATTTTTAAGAAAGGCCATTTATAATGAATTTGATTACATATTAAGTAGATTTAATTTTAAATATAAACTCTAAGCCAAAAATGTACATTTTACGTGTAAAACTTTTGTAATTTTTGGCAAATTAAGAAAGGAAGAAAGTAAGAAAATTAAAATCTGATTTAATTTATGCATCACATTAAGTGACGTAAATATTTTGTAGGATGTAAGAATACCAAATTATAATTATGGTTAAATTTACAATAAACTATTTTTTTATACTCTCCTTCTTCTTAAATTTAGTAAAGAGCATTTGCTCTTTTTTTCCTTGCGCTATAATCCAACTTTAAATAAAATTTCAAATGTGTAAGTATAGTAAACTTCTATACATTTATAAATAGACTATAACAGCAATTTTGCTACTTCAAAAAATTCACTATACTCAATCGAATTAATAAAATTGAAATTAATTGTTATATAATTTTTTATTTTTAGTCATTCTCACACTTATTTTAGCATTCTTAAAATAGAAAAAAATGTTAACATTAAATATTGAAATTCACTAAATTTATTATTTTACTTTTCAAAAAAAAATTGAGTGAAATTGAAATTTATTGAAAGATTTTTTGAAATCGATTTAGCTTATTTTAAAAGATATTCCAAATAAAAGAATTGTTTAGTTTAAATTAAAATTTAAGATTAAAAATAATTTTAAAATAGATTTATTATAAAAAATAAATAATTAGTTAAAATTAAAACATAATTTTGATGTTCTTATTTTTGAAATGATATCTATCTGATGATAAAATCAATTGATATTATTTCAACAAATTGAAAAGCAAGCAACTATTCTATTTATATCTAATTAAATACTAAAAATATCTTTAAAAATACATGCAAACCAATTTACATCAACTAATTGCTAAAAGAATTCAAAGCGCAAGCTGTCTTATTATCACAGCAGGAGCAGGAATGGGTGTAGATTCAGGACTTCCAGATTTTAGGGGGAAAGAAGGTATTAGAATATAATCTCCACAAAATGCATAATATTTTTAGTTACATTTTTTTTTAATTTTAGGATTTTGGAACAATTACATTCCTTTTAGGAATAAATTCTCTTTCACTGAGTGTGCTAATCCATAATTTTTATTAGAGTATTTTTATTAGTTAAATGATATATCTACATTTTTATTTATTTTGGTATAAACTAGTCATCCAAGTAATCAAATATTAACTAGCATACAATATTTGACTTTTTCATCATTAAATTGAAGATTTATTTTGGGGGTTTTATGGACACAGACTCCATTTATATAGAGAAACACAACCTCACAAAGGTTTTGGAATGTTAAAAACTTGGAGTTAAAATAAAAAAAGTTTTGTACTCACCTCAAATGTTGATGGACATTTCTAAAAAGCAGGTAAATTTATTATTTTATATTACATTATTGAGTTTTTAAGCTATTTTATATGTAAATTTGTTTAAAATAATGAATTTTAGGATTTGATAATAAGAGTGTTTATGAAGTTCATGGCTCAATTAATTTTATGCAATGCACAAGCTGTTAAAGAATTTATTCAGCAGATGGTAAATATCATTAAAATCTATCTATCTATAAACCGTAACTGCTTCGATATATCTGAGCCAAGGACACCATTTTTTATTTGACCATTTCTTTCATTAACAACCTCCCTCCCTCTCGGCTTTAATTTTAAGATGAATTGGAGGAGCAGAGTTTTTAAGGTATGAATTTTATATCTCTATTTATATCTAAAGGATACAATATTATTTATGATATGAATACATTTGAGGCTAAAGATCCACTTCCTAATTGTAAGAATTGTGTAAATGTTATAGTACGTCCTAATATTTTGATGTTTGGGGATTACTCTTTTATGTCAGATAGAGTTGAAGAATAAGAAGATAGGTATCTGTAGTTTAAAAATCAATTAACTACATAGTAATAATTGAATAAATTAATATTAAATATTAACTTATGTTTTATTTTTTATTTAAAGAGATAGAATTATTGTTTTAGAATTTGGAGCAGGGGAAGCTGTTGCAACTATAAGGATGATGGGCGAAGAATTATTCTTAAAATACAAGTAAAAATAAATAAAACTCAAATTGATATATTTATCTTTTTTAAAATTTAGGCATATAACATTCATAAGAGTTAATCCAAGAGATGATAATTCTCCTTTTGGTTGGAAGTAATAGTAAAATACAGAAGATAAAGCTTTTTATGCATTAAAATAAGGGGCTCTTGAAGCAATAACATAAATCTAATAATATATGTTGTGATTATTTATTTTTTTATTTTTAATATTAAAAAATATAATTACTATTTTAGTTAAATGTATTTATTTTCCTTTTGTATTTATTTCTCAGAAATTTATAACTTTGAAAATATTATTAATTAGTTTTTATAAAATTTAAATAAACAAAATTATATTTTATTAATTCTTTATTATTAAAATATCTCAAAAATATTTAAAAAATCAGAATAAAGAATTAATTTATATTAAAATAAGGCAACAGTTTATATACTAAGGCTAAATAAAAATAATATTTTTTTGAAATGTTTATCTGTTTTTTAAGTAAAAAAAATTAAATTTAAATTACTAAAAAAAAAATCATTTTTAAAATATCCACCTTACTATTTATTACAAAGGATATTTTATTTCACAAAAAAAATATAAAATTATATAGAAAGTAAATATTTTTTATATTTTTGATGGCTTAATCAGCCTAATTCTTATTAATCAAATCCAATCATGCAACCTAAAATTCTTTTATCAAGCTCAGATTTATCCAACTTTTTATCTAAAAATTTTTAAATGCAAGATTCAAAGTATTCTTAATTTTTTTCAATTTACTATAATGCATCTAAATGATTTTCATACTTTTATTATATTTTTTTATCATAAAGCTGATTATTTTCTGAAATATAGCTATTATTATTTCTATCATTAATATTTATTTCAAGAACTTTTTAATGTTTAGATTCTTTTTAATCATTATTATCTTATGTGTTTTCTATTTTTTAAATTAAATTGTTGCAATTATCTACTTGATTGTACTTTTTATCTGATTTAGCTGAGTAACTTTCGCCTATTTTTTTATTTTCCTCAATTTAATTCAAATTTGTTTCTTTTTTTAAAATTATTGTTTCTTGGAAATTATTTTCAAGTTGTGGATTTTACTCTATTTTATCTTTAAAACTTTATTTTAAATTGTTTTATAAAAGTTCTTTCTCGCTATTGATAAAATAGCCACACAATTAAATAGCAGCAAATTATTCTTTAGAGAGCAGCAATCTTATAATAATCTTCATTTACATTAATTCCTATTGAAGCTCAGTTATGCTAATTTGATTTTGAGTTTCGTTAATTAGCTCTTTAAATAGTTTTATTTATTATGAATCTTGACCCTGCATCGATTGATCGAAAAATTGTGCCATTATCAATATCTTAATCCTTCATTTAATCAAAAATATAAAAATAAAAATCAAATTTGTTTCTGTAAATAAATAAAAAGGCAATTTAAATTACCTCTTGAAGATATTTATGTTTAAATATTTATTGAAATAAGGTAGCAATTATTTGTTTTTAATTTGAAAATACACAGAAGTTAAATGCTTTGACAGAGAAAAATCTTCTATTCTATGTTTGGATATATTTATTTGTTTTAAAATATTATAGGCAGATGCTTTAAAGTAAGATTTTAGCTAAACTTCAGCAAAATCAAGAATGAGCTAATTTTATGAAAAAAGCTACCCAACAATTCCAAATATTAGTAACACATTAAAAACACTAGCAAATTGAGCTAAAACATATGTAAATAAGGGATATTAAATTTATTATAGTACTTCTATATTACCAATTTAGAATTAAATTACTGTTAATATATTAAAAATACTACCATATTCTTCAAAAATAAATTATTTAGTGAAATAAATATCCCTAATGTCATAATCCGAAAAAAATACATTAGATTATCTTTACTAGAGTAGGAAACCTTATGTTATTTACTAGTTAGTTCTTAAAAGATTGATTTAAGACACTGAAGTTAATCCATCTGATACAGAAACCAATTAGTTTCTGGTGAATTTTTCAAGTTACTTTGTTTAAGTGTTATAGTATTAGGTTGTTATTTTAATTGTAAAACTAGTAGAAATTCTAAGAAAATCTTACCTAAATTATTACTAACTTGCACAGTTTAAAGATGGATCTAAAATCGAAGCATCGCAAATTATAATAACTATTTCAAACGAATATTTTCCTAAAATGTTAGCATCATAACCAATATCCATTTAATTCTCCATGCTACTAATTGGTGTAAAATCAAAACAATAAAAAGTAGCTAAATCAGGATCTTTACATTTTATTAAATTGATATTAGTTGATTTGGTTTGATCATTATTGTTTGGATCTGGTGATTTATAAGATGCTGTTGGTAAAACATATCTTTTCCCTTTTTCGGTTTGGAATTCATCTAAATTCTACCCATTTGGCAAATAGATTTAAAAAGCAAGAATACTGTTTTAAATAGTCATAAAAAAGTCTTCATTGATAACTTTTTAAGTCTAATTAACAGTTGGATCAATTTTGTTATTAGAATAGAGGTAGCATATATATGTAAAGTATGCTAGGGATAAAGAAAAAACAGCAATAGAAACGAGACCTCCAAATGCTGTTTTTCTTTTCTATTAGTTATTTTCTATATTAAAAAAGAAAGGAGTAGAAAATAAATCTAATGACTTTAATATTTTAGACATTTTAATTAAATTTAATGAAAATTACAATTGATTAGTTATATTTATTTTAATAATTTAATGAACAGAAATATACTAACTATATTATCTTTACTTTTCTTTCATTGATTTTCAAAACAAATTTATTTTTCATAAAATAACTTTAAAAAATATTTGAATTCAATATTTCTAGTTTTTAAAATAATTTAAGGACAACAGCTAATAATTAAAAAAGAAAATTATAAACAATCTTATTAAATTTTTTATTCTGGAATTAAAATATTGTTATTTAAAATTAAAATATTTGATAAAAATATATAAATCTATTTTACATTTTTTTACTTTAAAATAAAAAAAGCTCAATAATATTTTTTAAAAAAATTTAAATAAAAAATAAATTTTCAATAACTAAAATTTGACGCTGATTAATTAATACATTTGATAAAATTAACTGTTTATTTTTAATAATTTTATTTTTTTATTAGTTAAATTATTTTAAATCCAATTTTTAGTTATCTGAGTCATGATTTATAAAAATTAATTAATTAATTAATTAATTATTAAAAGTAATGTTTTAAAGTCTTTACTAGATTTATGAAATTTTTTGTGCTATATAAATATTTATATAAAAATACATTTAGGGTTTTCAATTTTTTTAACTTTTATTTTAAGCTGTTTATTAATTGAGCATAACTTGACATACAGGTTAACCGTATCTGACTTTATCACCTTCTTTGACAAACCATTATAAATCTCCTTTAGCTTCAAAGAAAACAACGACGGTAGATCCTAAATTAAATCTACCTATTTCAGCACCTTTAGGAATTAATATACCATTTTCTAGTTATTTGTAAATTGAAGGAATCTTTTATTTCTTATCTAAATCATTTAATACTGATAATTCTTCGGTGGAAAACTCTTAAAGATCAGGTCTTTGTTCAGCAGTTTTCTTTACACTTTCTACATCAATTTTATTATCAAAATTCTTGACATTGCTCTTATTGAATTTTTTCCAATTTAAATCAATTTTCTAATTAGTTTTTAATTCCTATGATAATTTTAAAATAATTTTTAAAATTTAATAAAGATTGCTTTTATTATTTATAATGTTATTTATTTACTGGGTCGAATTCTAATGTCATAGAACCTACATTAGTAGCTCCTACGTAAACTTAAATGAATTAACCGTGTTTCCATTCACCAAACAAAGCTACTCTCTCATTACCTTCATACACTCTCTTTAAATTAAATTAAATTTTTATTGTTTCAAAAGGGAGATAAAATAATATTTAATTTTTTGAATATGATTTGAGAAAAAACAAGATACTTCATATTTTGAAATATAGGATTCTTTGACTGGAGCTAAATAACCGAGTATATGGTTTCTTCTCTTTGCAAGTATTTATGTAGGTGAATGATATCTATGATAATCTCCTGGATTTAAGTAGAAGATTGCTTAGTATATCTTTGATTCAGGATCTTTTATCTTAAGAGTTTTGAATAGATCGTTATCTAAAACAACGCTTTTATTTCCAGTTAAAAATTCACCCATCTTATAATTAATGCCTTTTACTAAAATATTTGAGTCTCCCTTAACTTCGGCGATAGTTAAAACTTTGGAATCTGCAGGAGATAGAATAACTTCATCGTTATTATCAATCTAACGAGGTTTAACCCTACGAGTGAAAAATTAATTAAAAGTTTCATAATTTTCGAATGGCTCTATCATATCGTTCTCAATAACATTATATGATTTTGCAAATGCACCAAAAAGAGGTTTTCTTAAGCTTAATGGTATGTATTGGCTTGAAACCCACCCTGAAAATCTGCTAACATTACGAGCGAAATCCATCTTTTTATTTTGATAAAAATAATAAAATTTTATTTGATCGTTGGCTAATAATTGTAATCTTAGAAAGTTACCTTTATCGAAAAGTCTTCATTAGTCTTAGAGTAGTAATAGGTAGCACCTATAAAATATAAACCAGTTGAGTAGGCGATAGTTTTCTTTAGAGAAAACTACCTAGAATTTTCTAATTTGATAATAAATAGATTTTGTTAATTGAGAAACACTTCTTTGATAATCAATCAGTCATATTATTTTAAAATAATGTAAAATCTTATAAACAATAATTACTCCATCCTAAAATCATCTCTTCTCTCCTTTAAGAGTTAATTACAAAGTCTTTAAAGTTCTTTGAAAAATTTTTAAACCTCTACATAGATAGCACAATAAATAATTTCTTTTATCTTCTATTTTTAATTATTAACTTTTATATTTCTAAAGTAAAGTAGGTATTTTAATTAATTAATTAGTTCGTTTAGATATTCACTAAAAGTAAATCATCATGAATAAATTTTGGATATAAACATACGAAAACAAACAAAATTTATTCTAAGCAAATCTTTATTTCAAAATCTCAAAGCAAACATAAATTATATATAAATAAATTGTTTGATCTAAAAATACACTAAAATAGTTAATAGTTTTTGTTATCATTTGTAGACTCTCTAATATTTTTTTAAAGCAAATATTTTATATAAACTCTAAATAATAAAATATGTAAAAAGAAAGTTTGTTTGTTAGTTAGTTAAATAGATTGATTAGTAATATTTATATTAAATATTTATCTAAGATTAAATCAGACTACGCTATCTAAATGGAAATGCGGTTCGTATAAATAGCGAATAACTTTAAATTTCACTGTTAATATTAATAACTCTACATAATCAAATTAAATTTTAATTGTATTTTCTACTTCACTTATGATCTAATCTATTCTCTATTAATTAGCATCTTAAATAAAAATGAAGATATAAAATACTTTATTACTATCTCTTAAAACCAAATATTAGCTCTCTTTGTATAGCAGTTCATTCAATTCTAAGTCTAAATTATTTTCATCCAATACTGATAACTCTTTTTGCAAAAATTTTGTTATAAATTCTTTTTACATGTTTTATCTACTTCTCCTTAATAATTCTTATTAAATAATATCATCTATTTTTGATAAACTAAATTTTAGATTTTTTTTTTTGCATTTGCAATCAATAAAATAACATATTTTTTATCTATCTTTTAAGAATTAAATTCTTCTACTACTAAGACAATATTAAAAAGTTAACTGTTTTCAATAAAATATATTATTAGAAATTTAAAGATAAATTTTATTAATTTCAAAAAATTTAAAAGCATCTAAGATTTTAAAAATTTTTTATATATTTTTAATCATTTAAAAAACGAAAAAAGATTCTAAAAATACAAATTTTTTTATTAAAATGATGATCAAGATAATAATCATTATTCAATTAGTATTTTGCATAAATGGAGCATCTTAATTATAAATAGATTTAAACAAGCATTAAATAAGAAAAGAGAAATCTGTATTTGTTGGAAAATCCTGGGAGGATTTGTAAAATATCTAAAATGCTGGATAAAATGTGTTGATATTTCATTATGTATCGTCATGCTCTTCTTGCAAATCTTTCCTCCCAATTTATGAGAAAGTAGCATCATTTTTTGAGAAATAAGGAAACAAAATACTGTTCTCTAAAATAGATGTAATGTCCTTTCATAAAAAAATAGATTAATTATAAATTAAATAATATCCATCAATATAATTTTATAAATATGGAAAATTTTTAAGCACATTTGAAGGCGAAAGGTATTTTTTAGTGATTTTTAATAAAACTAATTATTTTTATAATTTTTAGGGAATATGAAAGCTTGGTCAAATTTGTATAACAGAAGAGTTATCCTTTGAACGAAATAATAACTGTTCAAATCTTCGACGATATATACAAAAATGAGAAAATATTCAGCGTTTTTTTGGGAGATAAAAATAGTTTACAGTTTTAAGAATATGAATTTACTTGCTCTAAATTTGGAGATATGGCTTATTATTATGTTGATACTTCAAAAAAAGATTAAGAGCAATTAAAAGAATACATTTTAAATTAATTCAGTGAATATCATTCAATAATTGACGAATCTATTATATTGTTGGTCAACTCTAAATACACTAAAAGCCACTTTATTTTTGATGGGCATTTTGAACAAACTAAAATTGAAGAGTTTCTTTTAAAAAATGCATATTAAAAAATAGACATTTTGAATCAAATAAATTTAAATAAGTTACTATAAAAAAATGCTGATGGAATTATAATTTTTTTAGATGAATCTTAGAAGAGTAAAGAGATTTTATCATATTTGCCATATTTATCTCTTAAATTTAATGATGGACTATCTTTCTTTACGGTTTATAAGAAAAATATGGAAAAAGATCTTCTTCAAAGACTAAAAACTGTAATTGTTTAAAAAGAGTTAAATAAAAATAAAATCTAATTATATTTTATAAGACGAAATGGTAAATAAGTTTTTTAAATGGAGAATTTGTCGTAAGAAAAAATTAAAAAGGATGATATGGAAAATTTTATAATTCAAGTATTTAGAGGAGATTTACCAGTATTGGTTGAATCAGAAGAAATTCCATTAGAAAATCAAGAGCCAATAAAAGTAATAAAAACAATTCAAATACTAATTAATAATTTTAAAATTAAAATAAGAAATTAGTAGGAAAAAATTTTGAGTAAGAAGTTTATAAAAGTAAAAAGGATGTTATTGTTTACTTTAAAAGCGATTTTATAAAGGAAAGTGAATCTCTAATTTAAAATTTACTTAAATTAGATAAATTCATTAAACAGTAGTCAATGGAAGACTTTATTTAGATATTTCAAATAGATATGACAAAAAATAAGATTTATAATGAAAGTGGATAGATTTTGGAAGATATTGAAATTCTCCCTAAATTGTATATTTTTATTGCAGATGAACACAAGCAAAATGGCATTAAGCTAAATGGAAAGGATTTTAATTACCTCAAAAATGTGATCACTAAAATATCAAGCTATGATTGGAGCAACAAAGCTAAAAAAACTTAATAAGAATCAGAGGAAATTAGGCTAAACATTCAAAAATTCATTAATCCAAATAATGTTAAAAGCTTTGATAAATAATTTGATTTATGAGACTAGAATTTTATTAAATAAAAATTATAAAAGAAATTGTTAGATGTAAAATTATATAAAATATTTTTTAAATTTTGAATAAATTAGACTATTAAAAAACTAAATCGTAAAATAATTTAATATATTTTATATCTTGAAGATAACTTTTAAAGAATTTATTTTTTTTAATACTTATTAAGTGCTAATTTAAATAAATAAATTTTCAAAATAGTCAATTAATATTTTAAAAGGTACTGTTAATTGCAGTATTTTTTGAAATTCTAACTAAGCTTGATTTTGATAAGAATTAATAATAAAAGAACTAAGATAATTAATTCACTAACATTTAAATAAGTAGGATCTATCTTCTGGGTTTGGGTTTTGGCTTATTTATTAAATACAGGTTTAGAAGATTTTTAAAATATTGTCAAAATTTAAATTCTTTTTAAACTTAAATGATGATAATTTTTTTTTGATTTAGTTTTATATTCATATAATTTTCAAATTAATTTCAAAATCTTAACTTACTAATTGAGGAATTAAAATTTCATTTTTCTAAGAATTATTCATATATGAATTAGGAAGGATTTTACAATCATAATTTTGAATTTATTTTTAAATTATAGGATTTAAAAAGATTTTATTTGAAGTTTGTCAACATACTATGTTTGTATTGTAAAATGAATTGAGATTAATAAACAAAAGGAAAATAAAAAACTAAAAATTAAGACAAGTAAGTAAGAAAACAAACAAAGATACTCTTATTAAAATTTAAAAATTGAACATTTATCCTTTGATCATTTTAAAGAGTGTAAGTTATTATTTTTAGATTTTTATGATATGAGCTAAAATTAAATGTTCAATAAAAGAAAATTTTCTTAAATATTTGATTTTTGAATTATGTAATTTTTAATTAAGGTTTCTGAAATTGTTAATTTCTTTTATAGATAAGGCTTTTACAGTAAATAAATGACAAATAAAGATAAATCAGACTTTATGTCAAAATTAATTTTGTAAACAAAATAATAAATTTCAAAGTGTTTATTTTTTCATTTTTATTTTAATTTATTCATTCATTTTGTCATTAATTTATTCATTTTTAAAAAGATTTTATTTTTAAGGCATGTAAAAAATGCAATTTAATTTAGATAAGGTAACATTTTTGAGAGAATACTGAATGGAAGTTAGTAAGTAAGTATAAATACATATAATTTAAAGTTATTGAATTATGTAAATATATTTTAATATATAAAGTACAAAATTACTTTCTTTCTTTCTTCAGATATTATTTATAGTTCATAAATATTATTTGTTAAAAAAATAATAATATTTATTTTATTTCTTAGAAATTTTTGTTAAAAAATATAGTTTTTTATATTTAATATAGGAAAGTTCTTATTGCTGTTAATTAAGGGACTGAATAGTATTATTCAGTGTATATATCGTTTGCTTGTTTTTTTGAAATTTTATTCATTTTACATTTTATCAATAAGCTAAGAGATAATCATCGCAATAGAGGCAAAAATATTTATTTGTTAAGTTTATTTTAAAATTTAATTTCTGTTTTTTTCTCTAATGCTTGGCTCTAAGTTTTTCAATAAATATTGCATAAGCATTTTTCTTATCTTTAGACTGAGTTTTTCTTTTGTTTTTTAGAGCTTCTTCTTAAAATCGAGCTATCTTGAATGGCTTCAGATTAACCATAGTTAGAAACAGATTTTATATGGGATTCATTCACATTACAGGTATCAGTATTGGAACTTATATTTGTTTTTATTCTTGTTGGATTAGGAGCTAAATTAGGAAGGGCTAGAACTTATTTTGGGGGGTTCATTTTTGTTTTAAAGAATTCTATAGGGGAGAATTTAATGTTGCTTAGAATGAAATTGAATAAGAACTATGCCCTGTCTTGCATGTGCTTCTCTTTATATTTTATCAATTCTTCTTCGTTATCAATAAATTTTGCAAAGAATTGATAGAATATGAAATAGGCATATGATTCTCCTAACAATTCAAAAGAAATTTCGTAACTATTTTTGAGAAGATCCAATACTTAATTCATCTTGTCTCCCCAGTTATCTGGATAAATATTTTCAGAGGTGTTGTGATAATATTCTTACATGTATTCAGATAGATAAACACTGAGGGCAGCACTCAGAGAATCTAAGATTTAGTGAAGATTCTCGACTGAGTCAGAGAGGGAGAGAATTACGTAGCACTTTTTAACTAAAATTTCATTGCTTACTATTTAAATCTATGAATTATCTTTATCCAATAAAAGTAAGTCGCTCTAAAATAAAGGTATAAAACCTAGTGAGAGCTCTGCAAGTGAAGAAATGGTAATGCTACTCTTACTGTATAGAGAGTCTATGATATAACGAGAATGCAAAAAGGTGTTTTTAATTACTCTTTTAAAAGCAAAGAAGAAGTCTCTTTCAAAGTTCTTGCTCTTTAAGAAGGAATTGTAATTTAAAATCTAGTTTTTTATTTTATCACATTCACATTTTAATTTAGTATTAATTGCATTTGGGCTAGAAATTTCTCCGTTTGTAGATTAAGAAGAACTTATTTAAGGCAATTCTTTTTGTTTGTTTTGTTAATTTTCTTAAATTTAGTGAGACTCTAATTGGCTGCTTTTAGGATTATCTTCTTGTGTTTTTTGAGAATCTGACTCGTCTCTTGAAGATAAATCGCTTCTTCTATATAGTGGGTTGCAAGCTATGCATTGAGGGAAGAATTAATATTAATTATTTTTAGATTAATTTAGAAGACTCTTAAACTATTGAATAATATCATCGTATTCTCTTTGTATTAATTTAATTTAATCATACAACTTCTATTTTTCTTGCTTGTATTCTTCTTCTTACTTTTTGTTTGCTTCAAGTTTTAATTTTTGAATTCTTACCTGTTACTCTTACTTTTACTTTTCAAATATTATTTTCGCATACTTGATAATCTTTTCCTTTTCTTGCTCTCTTTGCTTCTGCAATTTATATTCTTCATTTTCTTCGTCTTATAAAAAGCTTTTTTCTTCCTCTTCTTCTTCCTCCTCCTCGTTTTGTGTTTTAAGTTTCTTATTTTAATTAACGCCTTACTATTTTTATTCAGTTTAATGATTATCACAACATAATTTGCAATTGCTTTTATCTGTGCTGTTTTCTGTGCTATAACTGCAACTGCAACCTTTGCTACTCATTTTCCTAAAGCGCATATCAATCGAATTTTCATTTCCTTGTCTATTTGCTTCTGAATTTTCTCTAGAATTTTATGTTTTTAATTGCTAATTAGGCATCTAATTTTCTTTGTTTTCTTGAAGATTTGTATCTTAAGCTATTGCATTCTTCGGAGATTGAGAAGAATCTAAAATATCCTAGCTGTCTTCCTAAAAATCACTTTAATTGCTATGTCTTTGCTATTCAAGTTTGTTCAAATCATCGCAAGACTAAAGGTATGAAGTCCTTATATTAGTTCTGATATTTTCTTCGCTTATTATTGAAAATCCTTGTGTTTACAACTGTGGAGAAATAAAAGATTCAAGGTCTACAATTGTTTACTTATATTATTCTTACTTGTTACTGAGTATAAGCTTTTATTTATTAATTTGATTTAGCTTATGGAGAACAATTTCAATAAGCTGAGACTTTGTTAGAGCTATATTTCTCTTAATTTAATTTATTTGACAAGATAAACTTTCTTTAATATTTTTGACTTGAGTAATAGAAATTTTCCTTCTTCTTGGGTAAATAACATCTGAGAAATATTTACTGTTAATTGCTTGGAGATCTTGAGTATCAGTAGCTGTTTTGCTGTCAATACTCAATTTAGCTTTTGACTACTCAGTTTCGTCGTAGCTCAATATTTAATTTAAATTTTACTAATATTTTTGTAAGTAATTCAGTTTGAAAATATTTAGAAATAATAAGTTAAGAATGTGATAATTGTCGCTATTTAAATAAAATTCATCATTTGAATTCTCAAAGTGCTTGATAACTGATTTCTAAAGCACTTAAAAGGAATCATCGTTTTATCCTATCTCCTCTAGAAGCAGACCAAGGTTGAATACGATTGGGAATTGATACTAAATGGAATTGGCTTCTTCAAAATATTGAATTGCCTTTTGTTACAGTTTTTGTTTATTAAAAAGCTTATCAAAATCCTTTGTGCTTGAAATTTAATTTGCTTTTTGCATATAAATCAATCCCATTTGAAAGTAAATGTTCAATTTTTCTTCCTATATCAAATGGTTCTATTCGGTGTTGACATACATTTCAGAATTCTTTTTTGTCATATCTTTCGTTTCTTCATCCTTTAAAAACTCTTATGTTTAATTTTGATATGATATTTATTTTTAATCTGAATTTATATTTTAGTTGATATTATTAGGAGAGCTATTGCTATTCTCTTCTTTATTTATTAATTCTTTTATTTGATCAGCTTTTTAATCAATATTCTCAAATTAAGTATCGTCTATGCCTGACAAATGACTATTTATCTAAGAGTCGACACAAATCAATTAAATATTTTTTATCTGTGCGTACTTTGTGATATCTTACTCGGCTTATTCTAACTTTTATAAATTGTAAAAAACTTAAGCACGAAGGAAGTAGGCCTCGCCTTCTTAAGGGTAAAAATAAATAGCACTTTCAATATATTTGAGCGATTCATCGTATTTAGATTCGAGGAGTAAAGCATAAGACATGTAATAGAGTGATAAATAGCTCGGCTTGAATTTATTCTTGTTGCAAATACTCATGTACTGATAAAAGTTCACCAGTGATTCTGAATAATTTTTTCTGTGTATTACATTGCATATACCTAAATATTCAAAAAGCATAAAGTCTTAAATGTTTCTTGACAAAGCTTCATTGCAAATCATCAAACATTTATCGAAATCAGTTATTTCAAAATACAAATATGCCAAGTTAACATATGCCTAAAGCAACTTGTCGTCAAGTTGTAAAGCCCACAGTAAATACTTTTCTGCCTCTTCATAATTCAATAATTGTAAATAAACCTTTCCAATATTATTGCATATGCTTTTATTTTTCTTATTTTCCTCAAATGCACGCTAGTATGCCAGCAGGCTCTTTGGTAAATCTTTCATCCTGTCTAAAATCAAACCTTTTATATAGTACATGTTAGATATTTCAGTGCTAAATTTCTTCATTTATCCTTTGCTTATTTTTTTGTACAGCTAATTCTCTGCTTCAAGTATTTTTTCTAGTGATTTTTAAAGCTGATTTTTCATAAGCAAACCGTAACTTTCCTCTGATAAATCAATAAAGAGATGTCGTTTTTAATTCTAAATGCTGCGAATATTGCTCATTCCTTCTATTTTCTTTGATTGCGTCTAAGAGAAAGCTGAATTTTTAAAAAATGATTTCTAATTTATAATTTTGTTTCTAAGTTTTAATTTCTCAGCGAATACTCTAAAATTGTATACTTTCTTTCTTTTTTGTTTGATTTATGCTTAACTAGCTATATAATTTGTAAGGATAAATCTCTTTGGATAGCAGCTAATTAATAGATTTATTATCTTTTATCTTATCCTAATTTAATAAAATAACTTGCTTTATTATGATGTTTATTTATTTATTAATAAATTGATTATGTAATATCAAGGATGGAATAAGCATGATGTCATCTTGATAAAATTAGCAAAGATTAACAATTAAGTGATGTAAATACTGTATATTAAATAGTATTTCAAAATAATTATTGTCAGTTTGAATATTCATTTACCTTATTTCTTAGGAAATCTTATGCACTATCTGTGATTTTTTCACTTTTTGTTGTAATAAGAATCTATTATAAATATACAATTTCTATCTCTTCACCAATCAAATACTTCCTCTTACTCATTTTAATTTTCTTCAAATTCCTGAAACTTTTCACATTTATTTTTTAATTTCTCCTATTATATTGTCAATCAATTCCTACCCAAAAATTAATTATTAGATGCATATTTGTTTATTTTAATTACGAATTGATAGTAAATTCAAAAAATTGATTGTCAATTAAATATTTTTATTTAAAACTCAAAATAATATTTAAAATTTATAATGAGATTTTAAAAAAATTTTTATTCATTTTTATATGAATTCTTATTTCTCTTAGCAAAAATAATCTTTATTAATTAAAATTAAGATCCACTTAAAAAAATTTTTTGAGCTCTTGGCTGAAATTTGATTTTAAAATTGTTATTTGGCTTTTTTAAAAATCACATTATCTTTTTGTAAATTTTATACAATTGCTCATCAATCAAACTTAGGTTTGTTTTGATTTATCGAACTGCACTAATTAAAAAATCCCTCAAATTAGACTGACACTTACTTAGTCAGTCTTTGGTAAAAATGATTAATTTATTTATTTGTTTTGAATTATGGTATATTTTTATATAATAAGGAATTTAAAACAATAAAAATCTTTTTATTTATAAAGTAGCTTTTTATTTGATTTAATTTTTTTTAATTGTGTTTTTTTATTTTTTAATTTTACTCATTTTTTAGTTTTGAACTTTTAGTTTAATTATTATTTCATCATTGTTTCTTTCTTTTTTACTAACTCGTAAACTAATTAATTATATTTCATTTAATATTTAAGAAGTAGCGAAAAAACTGGTAATTAAGATAGATGTATCAGAATTATTAGGTTCTGTTTTATCAAACTGTTCTAATCAATCTCTCAAACTTGACACTTGTTCTTAATATAGTTCATTTATTTGAATTTAAAAAAATAGAATACTTTTAATTTATGTATTTTATTTATTTATTTTGGATTATTTTCTGGTTCTTTATTTTTTTTAATTTAAGTCATTTTTTAATGTTCAAATTTTTTGCTTTGATTATTACTTTATATCTAATCATTTTATATTTAAATAACTAACAAATTAATTATATTCTCTTCAATATTAAAAAAAGAGAGAATAAATAATTGATGCAACGACTTGTGTATCAGGCTTAGGTTCTGTTTGCTTTAGCAAATTGCACTTATCACAAAAATTTGATATTTCAACTTTGGTAGATACAGTTTCTTTGTTTAAAATTTACACCAATCTGTAATAAAATTCTAAGCAAAATCAGCTAATCACAAAAATTGAAAATAAGCTTAATAGCTAGCAGGTGTCTTAAATCAAAAAGATTAAATATTAAATAAATACTCATATACCGTAAACTCTCGTTATCTAGAATTTAGGATATTCGGATTTCCTAAATCGGAAATGTAAAATAATAATAAAATAATTATTAAATATATAAAATAATGATTATTGAAAATTCTAATTAATTAAGGTATAAAAATTTAAATAAAGATATTTAAAAATATTTAAAATTAATTTTCTCGAAATTTTAATGAATTAAAATATTTAACTTCATATTAAAAAAAATTAAATAAAAATTGTATGTGTTATAAAATTAAAATATAATTTTATATTCACAAAAACAGCAGCTACTACTACTAACACTAATTCTACTAATGCCACAACAAATAATACAACCACAAATACTCAAGCTAATAATTAGCAACAAGGAACCCAAGCTGATTAACACAAAAGCAGAGTAAGAAGAGTTGATAAGATGTTGTAAATTTCGCTGGTGATACTAGTAAGCCTTATTGAGTTATATATTAAAATGTTAAAAAAATTTTAAAAAAATAAATTACATGCAATTTTAATGCTGCTAACTCATGAAATTTTTAGTTTTTTAATAATTAAAATTTCAATAAATAATTTTAAATAATAAAAAAATTGAATTTATTCATGTATGTATGGGTGTATTTAGTTAACACAGAAAAATATACACATATGCAAAATAATATTATCAATATTTTTAAAAATTCTAACATAAAATAATATTAAGTGCTATTTAAAATTTTAGATTATCTATGACTTTAAATATATATAACAATTTTTTACATTTCTAAGAAACAAAAATAATTGAAGTTTTATAAGTTAAGATTAAAAATTTTTCTATTATTTTATTCAGAGCCAATAATGTGATGTCACTTAATTTATAACTGGCTATTTTTACATTTTTTATCCTTTTTATTATAGCTTGAATTTTTACAATCATTGAAAATAAAAGTTGATTTTTGAAGATTATTTACCATAAATTTAAATAATTTAGATATTAATTTTAATCAATCAAAAGTGTTTCTTTTTGAATTATTCTTTTTGAGGAATCAAGAATATAATTTTAGAAGATTTAATAAAAAATACTACAATGTATATAAAAAAATTAATAGATTATTTCAAAAAATTATATTTACATGTAATATTTGAGCAAGTTTAATATAAACAATTTAACAGTCTTTAGACCTTTTAAAGAAATGAGGCTTGCTGTTTATTTGTTACTATTTTGAAGATAATCTAGAGAAAACAAATAGACTATAAATTTAATAGTCCATTAAAAAATATAAAATATATGCTTGAAAAATGAAAATTAAATGTTTTTAACGCTATACATCCATTATTTCTTTATTTGTGGCTAGTTAATACTCGCTTAATTTTAAAATGAATATAGTAACCTTTTTAATAAAAAGTTAAATTATCTAAAATCAGTGCAGTAAAATGTGTTTTTAATGTATTTCAGGTGATAATTTAATCAATTATTAACTTTTAAGTAAAGAAAAGCTTTTAAAAAAGGGATATCGAGGATATAAAGTTGAATTAATAATATTAAAAAAAAAAAAGAAATAAATAATCTTAATAAATTAAAAATGAATAAAACTATTGTTTTTGCTCTGCTCCTTCTTACTTCCTCTTGCGTTTTCTGCTAGTAAGAAAATGATGAATAAATCAAACTGATCGAAGATATCTCCTAAATGAAAGAATATTTCTAGAAACTTTCTCAATCTCAAATTTAATTCCAACTATTCTAACTTGCCTAAAAATATGATATCAATCTTAAAGCTTTGATGGAACTTCTAAATCTTGACTAAGAAAATCAACGTTTCCTACAACATAAAGACAAAAATCATAATCATCATGCATAGGGTAATCACTAAGATAACAATAACCAAAATTAACATAAAAATGATAAAGATGATAATGGAAAGCGCACTCTACAAATAGTGAGTAGCAATAACAACAGCAACAATAATAACAATAATGGCAGCAATAACAACAATAATGGCAACAACAATAACAAAAATAACGGCAGCAAAGATAACCACAACAATGATTAAAATAAAGATAATAAAAATAACAAATCAAACCATGATAACAATAATGATAAAAATAAAGATGACAAGAATAATGATAAGGATAAAGATAATAATCACAAAAATGATAACAAAGATAATAAAAGCGGAAATCATAACAAAGATGATGATAAGAAGAACAACGGAAAGCGCTTCCTTCAAATAGTGAATAGTAATAGCAATAATTAAAATAACAATGGCAATAACCATAGCCAAAATGATAACAAAAACAACAAAGATGATAATAAAAACAAAAAAGGAAATTAAGACTAGAAAAAAGATAATAACAAAAGCAACAACCAAAATAACCAAAATGATAATAACAATAATGATCATCATGATAATAAAGGTAAAGATTAAAATGATAAAGATAAACACAACAATGGAAAATGAAGTGGTTTCCAAATTTATACTTAATACAGGATGAAAAAAACTGAAACATAATTAATATTAATTAGTTTGATATGTTAGAAATATATATTTTTTTTTATCCTTTTGATTTATAATTCTTACTTACTTTTCTTAACATAAACTTTCAAATAATTTTATTGGTTTGTTTCTTACATTACCTATTTGTTTTTAAAAATAAATAACATTTATCTTCTAAAAGTAAATAGAGTTTACAATGTTGATAGAATTTATTTTCTTTCTAAAATATATATAATAGCCTATGCATTCATTATAAAACTAAACAAATTTTTCAATTTTTCAATTTATTAATCAATTCTTAAAAACTAGTTTTTTTTTTTTCAAAAAGGAAGCAAACAAACAAACATATTTATGTTATTTTTGATAATTTTTAGATAAAAATAATTCACTTTACCATTTATTGTTACATTTTCTTCTGAAGATCATTCATTCATTTGCTTTGTCAAAACAAATTTTGTATAAAATTAATTAACTTGAGTATGTTAAAAAATATTTTAAACAAATGATAAAAGCTAATTATTAAAAAACTTTTTAAAATGTATTTACAACATTATAAGTTATTTATTTCAATTTAAGAGCATAAAAAGAAAATATTAAATAGATTCTAAATTTTCAAGAATATTTAAAAAAATCATTAAAGTAAATATCATATTTATTTATTCCAATAGTATATAATAAGTGGTATTTTGTTAATAAGAATTAAGTTAAACCACAACTTATGATAATTAATTCAATTATGATCAAAAAGAAGTGAAGAGAATCTAATTATAAAATTTTAAAAACAAACATTCTAGTGATGCAATATGATCTCATGAAAAGTAAATTGATTTATTTGTTTATTGATTATTTCGAACTACTAAATTTTAAGAGTAACTAAATAGTTTAACAAATTGCTTACAATTATTTTTAGAATTATACAAATTAATATTTGAAAGAAATATATAAATAGTATTTTCAAAAGGTTTGTATAGTTGAAAATATGGGTTACATGGGAGGAAAAGCTTAAATGATTGATTTTATAAATTATAAATAAATTTTTTTAACCTCAGAGTATGCTTTACAACAATCAAATTCAAGTGGATTATTAAGCTATTTTAGAGGTGATTTGGTTTTTTATCTATTAATTTGTTTACTGTATTAGATTTAATAATAATTTGAAGCAAATTAAATTCACACAATTAAGATTGAAAAATTTCAACCAGCAGTCAGATGGCTGCAAATTTTAATTACTAAATGATTGGAATTTTGATTAATAGCATTTAATTAGCTCATTATTAAAAATATAAGATAAATATTTAAACAAAAACATTAATTTACAATTAATTTTTATATAACACTAATAATGTTATAAAAAAAATTTGATTTTTATTAAAAATTGCTTTTTTATTTTTAATTCTTTTAAGATATAAGTCTATCTAAATCAGCTTTAGAAATATTTTGAAGCTTTTTGAAATGAAAAAAAGTAAAAAATGACAAATTAAATAAATTATTACATTAAAAATGTTTTTTAAATTGAAGATATTTATTTTTAATTATGAGAATGAATGAATTTAGGTTGAATTATTTTGAAAAATATTACTAAAAAAATCTATCAATTGATTTTAATGCATTTAAAATTTCTTTTATTACAAGATATAATTGTAAATAATTTCATATGGAGAGAGTTTAAAATTACTAAAAATAATATCAAACAAATTGAATCACACAAAATAATAATAAGATAATATTATTGCAAATAAAATAAATTAATTTTTAGTGAAATACTATATTACGGGTTGCTTTTTAAACTCATTCATTATAATTTTAAATAAATACTTTCACAAAGTATAATTAAATTTATTTTATTTTTTTATTCTAAGCATCTTATTAACAATGTACAAATATAATAGCATGAATGTAATCTAACTTAATTATGCTTAAACGATTTATAGGTAAATAATGAAAAACGCAGATAAATCATTATCCTCTATTGATAATATGTTATTAATAATAAATAATTTCTTTAGAATTTATTTGATGATGTATATAAATAAAAAAGAGCTTTTAAATATTTTAATGACTGAAATTTTTGAAAGTTTCGATTAAAGACGGTAAGTGAGACTTCTAAACTGAAATCGAGGTGGCCTTAATATATGAACCTTTACCTTATATAAATATAGCTGTTTTAATACTTCTGATTAGACATACATGTGAATTAATAAATTATTTTGTGTTTTTTATAAAACTTGCAAATAATTTATCTCAAACTACTAACTTACAAAGTAAAATGACCAAATAGCTTTAATTTATACTAATCGAATTTTATTCTAAGATTAGATTTTATATAAATTTAGTAAATTTAAGTAGTTCAAATCGCTCTTTTGCATATTTTTTTACTATTAATTTTAAAATATGGTATTAGAAACTAGTTTGAATATAATTCTAAAAAACATATACTCTGCATTCTTATTAAAACTTTAATTATACAAATTACTTTATAAAAAATTGATAGTATTAAATTATTATATAAATTAATGTCTATAATCAGTCATGTCTTCATGTGCTAAAGATATTTGTTTTCTTACTTTTCTTATTCATCATATATACATTTCCTTTTATTCTAAATTTTTTATTTATTTTGTAATTTGCTAATAAACATCAAATTATTATCAAAAATAGTAAAATATACTAGTTGTTTTAATTAGATAAAATCTTAATAATTAGATTCTTGATATTTTTTGATTAAATTTTATAGAAATTAAGCAAATTTAAATGTGTAGAATGACTGATTATTTTAAAAATTTAAGTTCCTTAATTATCATAATATGCAGATGATGGACCAATACTTTAATCAATTAATTTAGTGCCACATTAAAAATATGTTATTTATGGAATAAATTACATTTTGATTTCACTATAACAAATAATTTTTTGTCTTCTAAAGACGAAAATTATAATTATAGAATTTAATATTTTTTATTAACTAAACCAAAATTATAAAATTATGGTTAAGGGAGGTTTAAATACAAAGAAAATAGAATCTTAAAATTATTTAAAATTATTCAGATTTATCGCGAACTTGAAAATAATTTAACTAATCTCCAACTACCCTGGTTTTCTTTTATACTTGATTCTTTTATTTTTTTATCTATTAAATAAGACTTAATTTTAATTAAATATGTTGTGGTGATTGTTTTATTTTTTATCTAAATGAGTGATTAAAAAATCATTCAAATATATTTTAAAAATTAAGAATAATGATAATGAATCAAATCATAATTAAAATAATATAAATGTATTTGATAAAAAATACAGCAAAAACATTTTGAAAAAATTCAGATTGTATTGATCTTACTTTAATCATTGTACTTTATTAATATAAACAGCAAATAAAACTTTCAATTTATTCAAAAGATATTTCTAAGTTAAATATTACAGTAGTATTATTATGGTTACTTAATTCTAAAATCGTATTTTTAATGAATTAATGACCTTATTATTAGAATCTAATGTTTTTGGAATTATTAAGAAAGATTAACATTCTGACTTATAAAGATTTAAAGAAATTTGTGTGATTAATTTAAAATTAACGAAGTATTATAAGATGATTTTAAATTACTAAAATAGCTAAGATAAGATTATAAATAATTATTAACTTAACAAAAATTTATTAACAATAAAAAAACAAAACCATCAAAATATGAAAAAAACAAGTAGATTCGCTTCTATTGTTAAACTCGTAGATATTTATGGAATACCTATAAACGTAAATTTCTAAAACGATGATACCCACAGAACAACTTTTGGAGCGATAATCTCTATTCTTGTGTTCTTAACGTTTGGATTAGCTACCTATTTTTATGGATAGGAATTATTTTATAAGACTAATCCTATTGTTATCACAAGCGAGTAATATGTTAAAAACCCTGAAAGAATGACTATTGATAAGGAAAAGCAAATAATAGTCATGGGTTTCAATACAGCAGTAGGAAAAACGGTTTATGATCCTTCAATTATTCAAGTAAGAGCTACTATTTCTTAGCTAGTAAAAGTCTATAATTAGACTACTTAAACATACTCAAGTAGCCTCTAGGCAACTCCTTTGAATATAAGACCTTGTAACAGTAATGACATAAAATCTGATAAAGTAAAAGATTATTTTAATGCGCTTAATCTAAACTAGTACTTCTGCTTTGATGACAATTAAGAGGTTTTTGTTGAAGGAGATTACTCAGGAGATTTTTATTCTAGAGTAGATGTTTATTTTTCTTAATGTAAAAATTCTACTATACCTGGTTCTACTGTTTGCAAACCATAATCAGTAATTAATAATGTTGCTTCTAACCTTTACTTCCTTGCATACATGATTGACAAAATTATCGATCCTACTAATTTAGAGGAGCCATTTGATTATAGAGGCTTTAACATTGAGACTTAGACATCTATCTTTTAAAGTCAATAGTTTGTGGCATTTTTTGAAAATTACTATGTGTAATCTGATACTGGGTTCTTACAAAAATCTTTACAATAAATAAGAGATTTTATGTATGTTCAATCAAGCTCAAGTAATTTATATGGTTAAGATGGGTTATTGGTCCAATTTACTTTAAGACCTTACAAGAATAAATAATTAATTATGGAAAGAAGATATATGAAATTTTCTGATCTTGTTGCCTAATTAGGAGGTATCTTAAAGCTTGTCACAGTAATAGGGTTTGTATTAACTTATCCATTTGCCAAAATTCACTTAGATAAAGAGATTATCAACAGTATATTTGATTTTGATTTTTCACAAGATGAAAACAATGACAAAAATGAAAATAATAACCAACATCAAAAATATATGATAGGTAATAATTAAAGTGCAAATAATTAGATGGATAAGAGTTAATTTTCTTTTTAGAAAGAAACATCATAAAGGCAAAACGACATCTCGTATAATTTCCAGCCATAGTCTTAATATGATTGTAATCAAAGTAATATCTAATAAATTAAGCAAATAAGTTAATAGAATTCTAATACAGAAAGAAAGGAAGAACAATACATGAAAGCAATTAAAAATTAGGAAGAATAACTAAGAAAAGAAAATTTTAAAGAAATTGAAATGAAAAACCAAACTTAGTTAGATATCTCTTAATCTATGAATTTATCTAAAAGCTAGAATTTAGCAACCAAAACAAAATTCACTCAGTAAACAACAAAAAGAAATGAAAGAAATTAAAATTCTTTACTTGAAAGTTAAGCTTTAAAAAGTGAAAGCTAAATAGCAAAAGAAAATGAACTGAAATAATCTTTTTTGAATAGAATCAGAAATATTTTAAATCCTCATAAAGAGAGGGTGAAGCTTACATGCTCTGAATATCTTTCTTTCTTTATTAAATGCACAAGGTCTAAAATGCTCTAATTAAAAAAGTAATTTATTATAAAAGGTGTTGACAAGGTCTAAAGCCATTTAGATATTTAATACATCCTTTAAAAGTTATAAGAAATAGACAAGCTTAAATAGATTTTGCTAAATGACGATTAAATTAAATTATTTGAGCTCTTACCTAGACCTGTCATGAAAAATGGAGAAGACAAAGGTAATAAAAAAAAAGCAAACTAGTTTTATGAAAAAGTCAATTAGAGCTATGAAGAGAAAGTTAATAACGCAATACAATCCTTGATTAATATTTTAAACTAGGAAAAGAAATCTGTAAGAGATCATTAATTAATACAACTTTTAGATGATTACATCTACAAGACTATGAAAGATAATGGTCTCCTTTCTAATTACGCTTCAAATCCAAAATAAAGTTACCCTAATTATCCACAATTAGAAAATAGTAATCATATGATGTTTGATGAGGTAAATGAGGAGTAAAATTCTGCTCGAAACTAAAATAAAAATAATAAGATTGATATTAATGATAATAATAATAAAGAAAAAGCAATAAACATTTCTACAGAAAATAATTAATCAAAATTTGATTCTCCTTAAATAAGCGCTGTAAGCTCAGATCGCTATTGCAGCTATTTCAAGTGATACTAACAGTATTTTATATTTTAAGTGCAATATAAAGGCATTTTAAATAAAAATTATAATCCTTTTTGTTTTTTTTTTGGTAAAAATATTGTATCAATACATTTTTATCTGTTTTAAAAATCAGTTTAAAAATTTTTTTAAGTATTAAATGTATTAATTCATAAATTTGATCTTTGAAACCATTTTTATTTATATAAAGATAGTATGTTTAGGAGTGAATATGTATTAAGGATAATAATTATATTTCAATTTATTTTTATTAAATTAATAAAAATAAAAAACAAACCACAGAAAACTAGATCTTGAAAATCGTTTTTTTTTCATTGATAAATTAAAGTTTAATGAAGTAACTTCAAAAATTATTTATTTAAATTGAACAAATTTATTTCTTGAAATAGAAAATTCTGTATTACTCTCTATAATAACCGTATAGATAAAATTAAATTTCATAGTAAAATGAATAACTAGCTAAATTAGCAGCTAAAACAATTTATTAAAAAGTTTCATGAATAAATTATTTACAATAATACATAAAAAAAAAATCATATAGCTTAAAATATTTTAAAAATTAATTTAATTTAACTTACTTTAATCTTTAATTTAAAAAAATATTTAATTTTATCTCTACTAGTTGGTAGACTGTGCTTTAATCTATAGAAAATTTAAAATTATTAAGATTAATACATCTTAAAGAAATCATAAAGATAAGAATCATCGATTGATATTAAATTATTTCATGATAAAAAAGTAAATAGATAAATATATTGAACAAAATATTTAATCGTATTGGACATATAATAAAGTTTGGTATCTATAGTTAAAGTTTAGACACTCAAAAAATAAATAAAAAAACTCAAATAATTGATGATCATTTCATGATAAATTTGCTTTAATTTAAATAAAATCTAAATTTTTGGTTCCCATCTCTACTAATTAAGTAAAATTGATTATATTATTAATTATATATATATATATATTTCTAATAATTAATATTTTAAAATAAAAGTTAAATATTAAAAATGCTTTTTTTTCTAGAATATTTAAGAATATTTAGAGAACATTTTATAATAAAAATCAAACAAATAAGCATTTTAAAATTTATAATACCACATTAAAAAAAAATTACATAAATTCTTAATATGAAATAAGCTTATGAAAAGCCAAATTCAACATTAACGACTTTCAAATTCATTAATTTATTCTAAACATAAATTTGTATTGTCTGAATAAATAAATGATAATTTAAAAAACAATTATTTTATGATTTTAAAAAATATAAAATGAAAAAAATGATCATAAGATAAATTAAAATTTTGAGAAAAAAAAACAAAACATTAATACAACAAAACTTAAAATAAAAAGTAAAACTTGATATTTCCCTGAGGTTTTATTTAAATCATGGCATCTAATTAATCATGATAAATAAAAAAAGATAGAAATATGATTGATGGATAATATTTAAGATTAAAATATAACTGGCATATAAAAGTTTGGAATTTATATAATTTAATAAAATGTAATATAACACTAAAAGTTTCAAATTATTTGATCATTTTTGGAGAAACCAGAGGGTTTGCTTATGTGGATATAATTTATTTAAGTAAAATAATTTTTTTATTTTTTATAAATAATTTATTTACTTACAAAAATATGAATGATCTTTATAAATATAAAATCAATAATAAAATCTATCTATCTATTTATATTTTAGGTTAAAAACACTTTTTCAAAATATTATATAATAAAATATATAATACTATTCAAACATTTTATACTTATTCATCCTTTTTTCACCAATTTTTAATCATCAGAAATCAAAGACAACTAATCTTTTTGATTTAAGAAACTTGCTTAATACTTTGAATTTTTATGATTTATTCATTGAGCTAAAACTTTTATAATAAATTAGTGTAAATTTTTAAATAAATATCAAAATAGAATAAACTTTTAAATTAAAAATTATTCTTTAAATTAATAAATAAAATAATTTTAGTGGAATAAAAAAGATAAAAAAATAAAATAAATAAAGCTATCAAATAAATTCATAGAGCTTTTTTGTTTTATATTAATCTTTATAGTTTAAAATATCACAATCAAAAACAAATAAACTGTTTTTACTCAAGGTAAAGTGTCAAATTTGAGAGATTAATGCAATTTGCTAAAGCAGAACATAAGCCTGATGCACCCATCGCACCAATTTAATTTCCACTTTTTAAATATTGAAGAAAAAAAATATCATTAAATAGTTAATTAGAAGGAAAAAATGAAGAAAAAATATGAAATAATAAGAAATAAATAATAAAAGCAAAAGTTGAAAATAAAATGATGAGCTAAATTAACAAAGAAAGAACAAAAAAAAGCAAGCACAATAAAAAAAAAAGAAAAAAGAGCTTTATTGCTTTTAATTAGTTTTTATAATTAAAATTATCACAATCCAAAACAAATAAACTGTTTTTACTCAAAGCTAAGTGTCAAATTTGAGAGATTAATGCAATTTGCTAAAGCAGAACCTAAGCCTGATGCACCTTCATCGCCAATTTAATTTCTACTTTTTAAATATTGAAGAAAAAATATATCATTAAATAGTTAATTAGAAGGAAAAAATGAAGAAAAAATATGAAATAATAAGAAATAAATAATAAAAGCAAAAGTTGAAAATAAAATGATGAGCTAAATTAACAAAGAAAGAACAAAAAAAAGCAAGCACAATAAAAAAAAAAGAAAAAAGAGCTTTATTGTTTTTAATTAGTTTTTATAATTAAAATTATCACAATCCAAAACAAATAAACTGTTTTTACTCAAAGCTAAGTGTCAAATTTGAGAGATTAATGCAATTTGCTAAAGCAGAACCTAAGCCTGATGCACCTTCATCACCAATTTAATTTCTACTTTTTAAATATTGAAGAAAAAATATATCATTAAATAGTTAATTAAAGGAAAAAATGAAGAAAAAATATGAAATAATAAGAAATAAATAATAAAAGCAAAAGTTGAAAATAAAATGATGAGCTAAATTAACAAAGAAAGAACAAAAAAAAAGCAAGCACAATAAAAAGAAAAATAAAAAAGAGCTTTATTGTTTTTAATTAGTTTTTATAATTTAAAATATCACAATCCAAAACAAATAAACTGTTTTTACTCAAGGTTAAGTGTCAAATTTGAGAGATTAATGCAATTTGCTAAAGCAGAACCTAAGCCTGATGCACCTTCATCACCAATTTAATTTCCACTTTTTAAATATTGAAGAAAAAATATATCATTAAATAGTTAATTAAAGGAAAAAATGAAGAAAAAATATGAAATAATAAGAAATAAATAATAAAAGCAAAAGTTTAAAATAAAATGATGAGCTAAATTAACAAAGAAAGAACAAAAAAAAGCAAGCACAATAAAAAAAAAAGAAAAAAGAGCTTTATTGTTTTTAATTAGTTTTTATAATTTAAAATATCACAATCCAAAACAAATAAACTGTTTTTACTAAAAGTGGAGTGTCAAATTTGAGAGATTAATGCAATTTGCTAAAGCAGAACCTAAGCCTGATGCACCCATTGCACCAATTTAATTTT